ACCAATACACCCAGCTCGGAAAGGCTGGTCGCTCACGCTGGCTCAACATTCGTCCGACAGTCCGTGGTCTGGCTATGAACGCCATGGACCATCCTCACGGTGGTGGACGAGGAAAGTCTAAGGGTAACGTCGACCCGAAGAGTCCTTGGGGTATTCCGGTATGTATAATCTTTATGTTTTGCACCTTCTGAACTTCTATGGGACTGACTCTTCGTTTTCACCTCCAGACCAAATCCGGCTACAAGACCCGCCCGAAGTGGAAGATCAACAAGGCTGTTGTTCATGCCAGACCTCGCAACCAAGGAAAGCGTCGTCGTGGATACAACTAGAGATGATGCTGTTCTACCGAGGTGGCCATTTTACTCTGCTTTGTCTCTGAACCATTAGTACCTCTTCACCCTATACCTCATCCCTACCGCTCAGAGGATGACTGTACGATATCTTTCCTGTTTCTTGACACATTAAATGTCTCATCGTTTCTTCTACCACGCGCTATTTCTTGGGGATTCTTGTTTTGCGCATCTGCCATCTGACTGAAACTCGGGCAATGGGCACTGTACAGTACGATGGCTCGAGGCCATATACATTCAAAGCGAAAGAAAATAGATTTTTACCCGGTTTCATCTCTCTGCACATAGCAAATATAGATAGACGTTGTGTACAAAGTACAAAGTACATACTCCCCAGGGCTGTCTTTACTTTGATTAGCCGTAGATCCCCACCTGGGCAGATGCGTGCCAAGCCTCCAGGCAGTATCGCTGGTGCGTGGCCCTCTCTGCCGATCGCACCTGTCAACGCTCCTATTGGGAATTACTATGGAAATTCAAGACATCCCCATGGTTTTAATTAGAATCCGATCGAAACGAATAATAGGGGTTTTTTTAATCTACTGTAGCCTTTCATAAAGAAAGGTTGGGCCGGAGGAATGCTTAGCCTCTCCTGATACGAACTTCCGCCATCATAGAACTTCCTTTTCACATCCCCACTTCGGCACATCTAGCCAACGTTGGATGGTCCCTGGCTTGTTGACGCCCCAGGTCTATCATATTCGCGCCATTATTCTCCCTAAAAAAAAAACGCGCCCGGACGAACCAGAGTTGGCCAAGACCAGTTTATCCACTTGAATTACTCAGCTATTACACCACATCCCGAGATCGTAAGTCTGCAATCAAGCCCGCCATGGCGGCACTTCCGGCGTCCAATTTTGGGCCCGAACCGTCGCAATACTCCACAGAATTCGACCCGTCTCAAATGGAGTTCATGTCTGGTGAAAGTGTCGCCGCTGCCGAAAGCACTAGCACCGGAGAAAGCAACTTCGTTCCCCGCCCCAAGCGCATCGCATGTGTCGTTTGTCGGAGGAGGAAACTGAGGTGCGATGGGAGACGACCGAGCTGTGGGACTTGCTCACGTTTGGGGCATGAATGTTCTTACGATGAAGTGCGCAAGAAGAGTGGTCCCAAACGGGGATATGTCAAGCAGCTTGAAGCGCGATTAGGTACGAAGTCGTCGAAAGCATTGGTCGCAAATGCTGTACTGACAGTGAGCTATATCGCTAACGATCATAACTATATCAGCTCAAGTAGAGACTCTTCTCAAAGGCCAGGATCCGGAACCCACCCAACGAACCTCCCCACCTCAACCATCGGATAATGCATTCACAGCACCTATCGCTGATGAATCTATACTGGATTTGCCCGACCTTTCGGACTTGGGAGCGCTAGGGGGTATGGGAGGTAACATGGATAGCTCGTTTTCACCTTCTACTGGCCCCAGCGCGGGCCAACCAAGCCAAATTTTATATCCTCCTCCTCCAACTACCCAGGGAGGCGGCAACTCTCAGTGGGACTTGATAAGTCTAGGACTGGAGGAGCCCCTTCCTTCTCAGGATGTGATCGATGAACTGTACGTGCTCTATGCGGCTTGCTACTGAACTGGTCTCTAATACAATGGTACTGTCTAGGGATGCTTTATTCTTTGAGAAGATCTATCCGATGATGCCCATCATCCACCGCCCCCGTTACTATGCAGCCCTGAATCTCGCCCCTAATATGCGACCACCGGTCTGCCTGCGATACATTATGTGGTGTAATGCCGCATCCGTCAGTGACAAATACTTCTTTCTGCATAATCATTTCTATCAGCGGGCACGCAAGTATGCCGAGGTGGACGAAATGAAAGGATTCGGAGAGAATATCGTCAGTTTAGCACATTGCCAAACATGGATATTTATCGGCACATATGAATTCCGAATGATCTACTTCCCACGAGCCTGGCTGAGCGTTGGCAAAGCTGCAAGACTAGCACTGATGCTGGGATTGAATCGGCTTGATGGTGTTGGTCTTGACGTCAAACAATCCATTCTACCACCAAAAGATTGGACAGAGCGTGAAGAACGCAGGAGAGTCTTCTGGGGAGCATTTGCCACAGATAGATACTCGAGCGTTGGAACCGGTTGGCCCATTCTCATTGATGAGAACGATGTCAGTATCCCTTTTGTGAACCCTCCTCATGGAGTAGAGGGTGATAGGCTAACAACAATCAGATCATGACCAACCTCCCCGCATCCGAAGAATCTTTTACCAAGAGCAAGCCACAACGGACCCTTCATCTAAACGATATCATCACCGGAGATGGTGTCTCTACACTAGCCCCTTTTGCATGCGTGATGGTTCTGGCTAGTCTTTTCGGTCGTAACCTCATACACATCCATCGGCCTCAGCCCCAAGACAACGATCATGACCTCAATGGAGAGTTTTGGAAGCGCCACAGAAGCCATGACAATATTCTTCTGCATATTTCGCTCTCGTTGCCTGATCATCTTCGACTTCCCAGTGGTATGTCGGACGTGAACGTCATTTTCGCCAACATGAGCATCCATACTTCAACCATATGTCTTCACCAAGCGGCAATATTCAAGGCCGAAAAGAACAAGATGCCGAATCAGATTACGACCGAGAGCAAGCGCAGATGCCTTGTTGCCGCAAACCAAATTTCGAATACCATGAAGATGATCAGCCACGTTGATTTGACGAGCGTAAGTTTCTATCGAGCTTTCTTTTTAAAATAATTTGCACTAACACCTTGTAGCTAAATCCTTTCATGTCGTTTTGTCTCTACATTGCTGCTCGTGTCTTTGTGCAGTATCTTAAATCCCGACCAGAGGATTCGACTGTTCATTCCTCGTTACAATTTCTTGTCTCTGCTCTGAACGCCATGAAAAACAAAAACCCTCTGACCGAGTCCTTCCTTGTTCAATTGGATGTTGATCTTGATGGAACTGGCATTCGGGCTTTGGACGATAGACAGAAAGCCAACATGTCTGCTGCACATTCGATGGTAGTAGGTTTCCCCGGCTTGTTCCCCAATGGCCGATCAAAGCTAATCTCGTTTTCTCTAGCGAACTCAATGCCACGATGTTGTCGACTGTACTCCTATCTACACCATCCGCCAAACACAAGGGATTGCGAAGGAGGTGTCTCCACAATACGGTACCACTCGCGGTGGCAATCAACAACCCATGCCTGCCGGTTTGACGACGTCCCTTCCTAGCCGAAGTAGGGACTCAACGACACAGCCCACCACGGGACCAGTTTTTAATGGCGATGGCACACGTTGTTTCTTCGGAACTTCCACTCAGGCGACAGGTTCACAAATGGATCAAGCCGGACAACCAGGGGCCATTGCCGATATGGACATGGACTTTCCACCTGACTTTGGCAACCTCAGCGACAGAAACAATCCACCATCAGACCACCCCACTCCCTCAACCCTAAATTCATCCTCCAACACCTCCTATTCAATTAATGGTGCTGACGCCCCATCGCCCGGAAACAAGAATCAAAAGACAAACTCGGTATATCCAAGCCTGGGGTCGGGCCCGTCCTTTGACAAGGCCAATCCAAACATCATGCCACAAGATAACACAAACCCGCAAGTCACTGATTTGGGTTCTATGGCTGGTCGCTTTTATCCAAACAGCTCTGGTAGCCCATCTGTTGGCACAGGAGCGTCGGGAATCTTTTCTATGCCCTCTGCGTGGGACCTTCCAACCCCAAATCCAGAAACGGGCAATGGGGAGTTTGGCAGTCTAAACATGGAGACTTTCAGTGAATCTCAATGGGCCCAGATATTGAATACTCAAATCCAGAGTGAACATGGTACAAACGCTGGCTGGGACAACTGGCGGCAATCGTGAGTACACTACGTGGTGGCATATAATTTCCTATCAGAGGATCTTGGTTGGATAGTCTCCGATGCCAACAACCCATCAAGCTTGATATTGTTGCAACAAATGAAGCCTCTCATATTGGCCCTGAACGGATAACTTGGGGCTTTGTGTTCTCTCGGCCTCCTCAAAGTCAGAGATCCTACGATCTCACTAATTAAGACGACCCATCGACACCCTTATTAATCCTGGCTGAGGATCTCGCACGCGACTGCAAGCATATCGTCATCTCATTGGATACTTCTCCTTTGCTTTTGGTTCCCTCCCTCGCCGCAAGCTGAGATTGATTTACAGGAGGCATCGGCATCCTAGTTCCACGAATATTGGGGTCAATCATCACGATATCTTGGAGTGAGTATCTTCCCGAGGTCTTCCTCGAGGTTGATTTACCAGCCACGGAACTGCAAATCCCTTTGCAAATCTCTTCTTGCCACAATGTTCGAGTAAAGTGGCAGCCTGATAAGCTTCCATTAAGCTCTGTTTTTGAATGATTTGACGACGAATGAATGAACGGTCTCTTTGGGCGGAATTCTTCACTCTTGGATAGCTTATACGGTTGCAATCGGAGTATTTGAGGCTGTCAATTTATGTTAATAACCAATCTCTACAATATTATGTCGGAATACTAAAAAAATCTATTGATTTTACCTAGCACTCGTTTGGCATTTTGCAATACGTCCATTCATGATAATTTGGATAATAATCTAGATCATAGAGGTTAGAGCCAACAAAAGAAGCTCGCTGAAGAAGAGGAAGTACAATATGAAGCTCGAGATTACAGGCCACCACCACCAGCACCGACAATCTTCAAGCCCCCAGCGCTGGAGCTACCAGGTCCATCAGTGGTTGTCGAATAAGCCAGCCAGTAGCGAGATGGATGCCACGCAACAGCAGAGACACCAGCATTGATGCCGGCAGTAGGAATGGTGTAAATGCTATCACCAGATTCAGCATGGAAAATCTCCAGTCCATTTCCACCACATCCAAGCTCGTCACATGCGCCAACAATGTAGCGACCATCGAAGCTCCAGCTCACTCCACGAATAGCGCCACCATTCTCGCTAGACAAAGTGCGACGGCAGATCCAATCGGTTGTGTCCCAGAGGGAGATGAGAGCGTCGCTTCCGCCAACTGCGAGGTATCGGCCTGTCGGGGCGAGCGCAATTGAAAGGCAGGCTGAGGTGTGGGCGTTGAGAGTGTGCATAATATCGAAGGAAGGGTAGGACATGATTTTAACCTTGCCTTCGCCGGTGGTCACAAATACATGCTGCTCTGGACGTTCGGGTGTCGGCATGCACCAGGAGAAGGTTGTTGCATTTGTTTGGACGGTCTGAGGGTGAGGGTCGAGAGCTGTGTATGTGGTTGCGCCGGGTGTAGAGGAGGGAAGGTTGAGAGCATTGACGCCATCGGGGTGGGTAGTAGGAGAGGAGGGGAATTGAACAGAAATGGGGATTAAAGTGTCGTCCTGTTTTATATCGTATGTTAGTGACTTTGTCATGAGAGATATCAAGTCTGCGGAGTCGCAGCGCTGCATGATTACCTTCTTGCCGACAATCATTGTGCTGCCATCAGCAGACCAAGAGAGTGTGAATGCTTCGCCGCCGACATCAAGACGGCTCACACATGTCTTGGAGCGCACATCCCAGAAGCGCACTGTGCCATCGGCCGAGCAACTGGCCAGCTCCGCATCACGGACTGGGTTGAAAAGAGCCTTCTCGATACCAGCTGTATGACCACGCAATTCGGTAGAGTATCGTACATGGGGACGTTCGGGATTCCAAATTCGTAGAGTGCGATCTGCTGAGCCAGTCGCAATCAGCTGGCCCGTGGGGTTCCAGGCAAGAGTGCGGATCCTGTGGTTCCAGATCGTTGTCAGTAATGAACGACAGCGCCATGACGAAAACCCCGACTTACGTGTGAGAGCCTGGTCCCTTGGAAACAGGATCTAAGTAGTTTTGTGTCTTCACGTTCCCAAACACGAATGCAAAGTGATCCTTGTGTAGGAGCTCGCGTCGCGGAGCGGGCGCCATCTCTTCGTCTTCCTCCTCTAGCAATTGGCGCGAGACTGGATGTCCACCTGCATCCGAGCCAGCGGCAGAAGCAATAGTAGAAGTAGAAGCAATAGGATCTAGCAGCTTAGGCTTGATGCTCTTCGAAGAACAATGCACTGACTGAATTGGAGAGTAATCGGGTACCGCCTTTGGCAAGCCCGATACTGCCAGGGGATCCTTATCGGGTGTTGCCGCCATCAGAATATTCGCCTCAGGCACCCAATGTTTTCTCCCGTATTGGATTGGATTTTGCGTGTTTCAACCGTCGGAAGGTTAGTAGAGAAATTGGGATAGAAGAGAACCGTGAGTAATAAGTCTGTGAACTTTGCATTTAAATGGGTTTCACAATTTTCCACCTATAAGGAAGAAATGCCTTCTACACACTACATATCATGGAACTCGACCAGGAACTATGTCGTAGACATAAGCTTGATTAGTACAAGTGGTACGTTATAATTCCTTTTAAGCTGTTATCAAAATCTTGTTCTATTCCATAGCCGTACGATCTATATGCCAAACATAGACACTGTTCTAATGCATTATGTATTCCAATTGACAGTGTATTTTGTTTGCTCTATATATGCATACATGGTCGCATACTAAGAGCCCTTAGAGCAAATGTCAATCCAGAAGAACTGAGACGGAGCTCTGCCTAAGTCCAGATATCTCTTACTGGTTGACATAGGAGTCGGGCTACATTGAGCTATTATACTGGTTACGATACTGAGGCCGTTGATATTTATTGATACCTTCTGTCTTGAATTCATAAATGCCATTCAGACCTAATATATCTAGTTCCTGTATAATATTCCTACATGGCTACCTACGTTGTTAAAATACCCTAAACTCCAATTCACCAATTGAATGTGGAAGGCTTGATAGCTGCAGCCTTATGGGTCCGATAAGCCCGAGCTTAATCGAACCTCACCCTTCGGCTGAAAAATTAACCCTTCAGAACTCAAGAGCTTCGATTGCCAACGTTAAACCTAACTTCGAAGGCTGTCAGAGACAACATGTTTGAAGAGGTGGACGATGCATCGCGTCGTGAAAAGTGTTTCACAACCATCGCTCAACTGCCGGTATTCATCGACTCAAAGCAGATCCCGGGCAAGAGATCGCCCTTTTCAACGATCCAAAATCATGCATTCGTACACTCGGTAGGTGATCGGTGGCTTGCTTTGAGAATTAAAAGGTTATTTGACTGACCATTGGGTATAGGCCGAGGTTATCTTGCCAAAGGAGCTTTACTCACAGATCAAGCCATCGCTCGAGACCAAACTAGAAAAACCTCGATATGCGCGAGTCTTCATGGCTCCTTCAGCTCTGCTTGAGCATGATTTCTTCAATACCTATATCAAGTCAGGTATCTATATCTCCGCCAGATCAGTCCAAAATCTCTTTCATGCCTGAGTGGCCATCAGTTGCACAAGCAGCAGACAGCTTTTGTGTCCAGAGAGTCCATTCTACCAAAGACAGAAATCTGACTTGGGATATAGGGAATATTTTGATGATATCCGAAGGACGTTCTGGGTCCGATAATGTCTTCACACTCCAAGATGGTTCGTTTCCCTGAAGCTGCAGCTGGAAGAGTCTTGCCGTTGTAGAACTGAGAGTTGACTCGAATGGAAACAGGGGTACTTCGAATGGAACTAGGAAAGGAGATCTATGAGCGAACAGGTCTCACGGGCAAGCCGTTCCGCAGTGGCGGCAGAAAACACGCAAAAGAAAGATTCTGTGAGTACAAGCAGAGCAAATGGGCTGGATGAATCTTTACTAATGATGTCGTCAGTGGTAGAATTGAACTTACGGCTGCCCTCGATGCTACATGGCAAGAAGGGCTTTGAAAGAATCGTCTGGGCATTCACCAATGTTCTGACTCAATCAGTGGCCTGGCTCTTCCACGACCTGGAAAGCAAACCCGGTCTAGTTGAAGGTGATCATCCCCCGAATTCAAAAAAGGAAATAATAGGAATGATATACTAAAAATCAGAGCAGGAAACAAGCCGATCAATAAGGTTCAACCACAGTTGATAACCTGTGAGCCACAGGAAATTGATCACGAGCACATAATCACTCCGCCGTTTTACGAAAACGGGAAAGTACTCGAGAAAATGTCGGAAGGTGATCTGCAGGAACATTGTGGCTCCCTGGCCGAGTGGATTGCCATGGTTCAGATGGCTTCTCCGCGATTATCTGGGGAAGATGACGTCGATCCGTACCTGAGTCGTTATGCAGTTCCAGACGCCGATGAAAGTCTGGCCTCTGATTTGATGAGCTTAAAATGGCATGGCTTGATATCGTCCCGTTGGATCATGCAGCTGTTCCTCGATCTGTTGTGAGTTCCGGATATCCCTTGGTATAAACGTCTGGTTGAGAGCTGACATTGTCCAATGAATAGGCAAAACACTAAGGCTAGCAATCTATCCTGGTTTGCTCTTGCCGTCGCTACTCTGGGTAAAGAAGCTGTGGAGGGAAGGGACGGATTCACGGTTATGGTCCTTCCTGGTGCACAGTCTAGTGGACAGCCTAGTGAACCCAGCGAAGTGTCCAAGTTGAATGGCGAAGGAACCACTGGATCTGGTGGTCGGATGACTTTATGTTGGGAGTTAATGGGGGCATCAGTGACCGAACCCTGACCTAACCCTGTACCCTTTGTCGCCAACCCAAATACCTCATGGGGAGCTTAGTCCAGGGCTTCATCCACGTAACCCCCAATATCTTGCCCTGAACGAGAGCACGTCACGTATCTTCCCACAGTCCACAGTCCACAGTCCCCCTTCCCCCTTCCTCGTTCCTCCTTCTTCTTCCTTCCTCTCTCTCCTTCTCTTCTTCTTTCCTTCCCCATACCTTCTACCCCACACACCCACTTTCCCCCATACTCATATTGTACCATCTTCCCCATCCATTATCAATCATTCGCTACAAAACACAATTAGCTATTCCATAGCCTTTGCTCTTCGAGTATTCCACTCGCTCAGCAGTTGACACACTTCATTCATCTTTCTGTATCAATTTTCGTGTCTCTGCACCTTCCTTGACCCTACATCTCTACCACCTGTACTTTCATTCACCTTCACATCTACCCCATCATTCGTTATGGAGGCTATCACTATGGAGGCTACTGAGCCTACCCAATTCTTTACCGACGCACTTGCCGATGTGCCTTATGATGAAGACCCCCACAAGGCTCTCTTGCGCCTTGACGAATGGGAACTACCTGAGTCAATTTTCCGCAAAGATGGCTCCTGTCTGTCCATCTGGGAACTTGCTCGTGCCAATGGTAATTACATCTTTCTTTTTTTTCACAATATCGGACTGAATTAACTCGAGTTCATAGGATATCGCTTCGAAGGAGACCCCGATGAGGCTTCTGGCTCGACTTTTGACAATGCCTTTGTTGAATTGGGTGTAGACCCTGTCGTTGGCCCAGCGACTCTGGATCACCTGGAGCTTGACCCTGAATCGTCTACTCCCATCGTGATTGATAATGTCACTCCACCCAGCACTTGTCCCAACCAGCAGAGCACAATCTATCCGCTGGATACCCTCAACTCTCTCGAAAACGCTGACTTGGGTCCTCCCATGGTAGTCGTTCAACTTACTCCCACCACTGATGCTACAGTCACCCCAAACGCCCCGGCCATCATTGGTACGGCCGTTAAAGTTGCTTCTGTCACGACTGCTCCTATCACTGCTGCTCCTGTCACCAAAGTCGCCGCAGTCACCCGAGTCGCTGCGGTCAATAAAGTTGCTACTGCTCCCACCGAACGTGCTTCGGTCATCATTGGCCCAGCTGTTCAAGTCACTCCCGCCACTGCTGCCCCGGTTACCCAAGCGACCCCTCCAATCAACCACATTACCCAGGCTGTTCCAGTCACCAATGCTACTTCGGTTGCCCAGTGCGCTCCGAGCATCGTTGGTTCATCGGCCCTAGTTACTCCTGCCACCTCCGGTTCGGCAATTGGAACGGTCAAGGTTTTTGACTTACCACAAGGAAAATCGCGCCCTCAGCCTGATAAGCGACCACCCAAGCAGAACACCAAGCGGGTCCCCAAGAACAAGCAAGATGACGAGCTGCACAAAAACCAGAAGAAGGCAAAGGCGCAAAGCACTCGACGCAAAGCGAAGGGAAAGACAAATGTCGCCCCAAACACACCACCTCAGAAGATTGCGCCTGCCCCTGCCTCGATGACCCCAGTGACTGGAGACACTCGCAAGGCAGTGCGCTTTTACAGCCAACAGCAGCATCTGCAAATCCAAGGGCTTCTTCGAAGCCAAGAGCAAACTCTTCGTACTGAATGGAGCCAGCTTCAACAACATTTAGATCATCTGAAACAACAGCAGCCTGGAAATCAACAGCAGCTCCAGATCCACCAACAGCAGTGCCAGCTCCAGCAGCAGCAGATGATGCTGTGCCGTCAAAAGATCATGCAGTACAAGCAGACAGTCCGTCAATACCGGGATCAGCAAAAGAAACAGCATGCAATGCAACAGCAACTTCAAACTGCAGCGGCCCATCAATTTCAGCAACCCACCCAGCAAATGGAAGCCGTTTATTCCACTCCTTCCAATCAGCGTATGCAGTCTGTGATGCAACAGCCCCAGCAATTCCAGGCAGCAGCAGCCCAGCACGTTCAGCAGCCCATCCAACAAATGGAAGCCGTTTATCCCACTCCCCCCAAGGAGCGCATGCAGTCTATGATGCAACAAACCCAGCAACTCCAAGCCATGCAGGCAGTTTATTCCACCCCTTCTCAGGGGCGCATGCAGTCTATGATGCAACAAACCCAGCAATTTCAAACCGCAGCGGCTCAGCAAGTTCAGCAACCCACCCAACAAATGCAAGCCGATTATCCCACTCCTCCTAAGGAACGCATGCAGTCCATGATGCAGCAAACTCAGCAACTTCAAGCCTCAGCGGCTCAGCGAGTTCAGCAGCCCACCCGACCAATGCAGGGAGTCTATTGCACCCCTACCAAGGAGCGTGCGCAGTCTGTTTCTTCCCTTTCTGCCGCTTCGCCCAGCAAGAGAAGCTTCCAGTTCATGGAGAGCATCGTACCTCCCAACTTTGTGGCCAACCCGAACAACCATCCTCGATGGAGTGTTAGCCCTAATGGGGACCGAACCTACTTGGGCGGACCCCAGGCGAAGAAGGCACGAGTCTCTCGGAAGTAGGAGCGGACAGAGAAGGTGTTTGCCCGGCAATAGTGAATTTTTTTTTTTTTTTTTTTTTTTTTTCAAGGATCATGATGAAAAGGGGGGGGGGAGGGGGAGTATGGATAAGGAGGATGTTGACAAGGAGGTCTTTGGGGGTCTTGTGATGTGTATTTCAAACTTCGAAGGAGGATTTGTTCAATCAATCAAATTTCAATAAACCTGTTGCGGTCTAACTAGTTGCGTAGGACTATGCAGGCGCTTCATCCAACTGAAGCAAGAACTCGAAGCCAAACACCGAGTCGGGGCCACATAGTGCTCCCAAAGAGTATACAGAATGTTGACCGTAAAGAGTGAGGAGCCAGCCAATTCTTATAACCTGTAAAACCGAGTGCACCCTCTATCTCCTATGTCTCAGTTGTCACTTCTCACTTGTTACTTCTCACTTCTCATTTCTCATTTCTTAATTCTCACTTCTCACTCTCTCCTTTGCCCTATATCCTCACCTTCAGTTTCAATTAATAGTGTGGTCTCCTAGCCAGTTCATTGGTATAATTGTCATCCGTGGCTGAGTTTCTCGTTTCACAGCTTCATTTGTCGTCATTCTAATACCTATCGTCTTCCATACCTAGGTCCATAGCTGTAAGGCCTGTCCGTTTGTCGTCGTCGTCGTCCTCCTGCAGCAAGCGCTTCGTAGGTGCGGAAGTTGTCCCCCGCTCCCACTGCTTCTCCCACCGCTCTCTTAGCAGCTGCGGCGAGGCGCATTGGAGGATCGATTGATGGGGATTTTGATCACAGTGTTGCAGTAGGTACACATGGACTGTAGCCTACGTGAATCAGAATTTCTCAATTCATCTTGAGGGAGAGGCTGAACATCAAGCATCTGGCGCGTTGCTTGTTTGCGGACTACAGTGCCAACCGCCAGTGCGCCATACCTCATTTTGCCTACGATATACTTGCTAATAGTACAGTGCTAAGTGAATTTAGAACAGGATGCTCAGTGTATTCGCCAAGCAAAAAACATTATGTTGTATATATTTGAGAGGGATGGCCGTATCAGCGCGCCAAGTCATGCAAGATAATGAAACAGAACGCCTCAGGATGCAATTTGAAGAACAGAAACAAGTACCTTGATTAAAATGGTATGCTATCCCGTCAGATCATTCACAATGTCTCGCAGGATCGGCCGATTTCCAACTACATTTGTGCCGTTGAACAACTTCGCGCCCGTCTTTGAAGGCTTTCGAAGGCCAGGCCCTGGTTGTCGGGAGCCCAGTGGGCTTAGTGGTTCACGAATCGAACGAGAAGCAGGTGATTTGTTCTTGCCCATACCTTTACCCTTGGCAGAGCCAGGAGTCAAAGCCGCACCCGGAGACATGAGCTGTGACTGTGTAGTACAAGAAGGGAAAAAATGCTTCTCAATCGCTCCGCTGGGCAAGTTGTAAACCCAGCCTTTGCTTTCAACCAGGCGCACATATTTGCAGAGGAGCTCGTTGCCATCACGGAGAGTGGATCTGCTACCGACAACGAGGAGCTTGGTCTGGGCGCGGGTGAAGGCGACGTTGACACGACGCCAGTCACGTAGGAGCTCGCCGACGTTGTTTTCGGCGTTACTGCGGACGCAGCTCAGGATAATGACTTCTTTGTCGCGGCCTTGGAACTTGTCTGTAGTGTGCATTTCCAGATCTGGGGTGTAGCGTCGCAGGCTTTGGCGAAGGAGTGAGAGTTGGCTGCGGTAGAAAGTGATCACACCGATGTTGCGCGCGGGAATACCACAGGCAATGAATGACTCCACAAGTTGCGAGCAGAGGAAGACTTCCATGTGATTCACGACACGATTTCCCTGTGCTATCTCGAGGGCTGCCGGGCCGATGGGATCGGTGTTGACTAGGCGCGTTTTTGCAGATGGCGCCAATAAGTCTCGGAGCCAGCAGGGGCTATCGGGGGTACCCGGGCAGATTTCTCGTTGGGACTGTGATGGAGCATGGCTCATGTCCTCGACATGGAATTTCTCGAGGGCGTTGATGTTGGGTATATCCAAAGATCGGGCTGCTACCTGCGGTGTGCCGCATTTGAGACGGCCCGAGTAGATCAGAGTGTTGGAAAGTAACATAATTTCCTCACACATGCGGTACTGATGCTCGAGGTTCACAACTGAATCTGGTTGTGCATCCGAGAGTAGTTTGAAGAGACTGATATCAAGTCCCCCTTCCTGGGCCGCTTTATTCTGCACAAGCGGCGGTAATTGATAGTGATCACCGACCAGAATGAAAGTCCTTGCCATACGAATCGGGCCGAGGCAGACTGGGAGCGTGATCTGTGATGCCTCGTCGACAATACAGTAGTCAAAGATGCGTTGGTTGAAAATGTTGTGGTTGACTCCGAGGCATGTAGTGGCAACGACCTGCGGCTTTTCGTATGAATCCTTGAGCTCTTCGATGGTTGCTTTCGGGGTTGCGGCAAGGTCGGCGAATTCCTGAACATCTGGATGGATTTTGGCGGTTGCACCTATACGCAGCACACGAATGCTGTCGTCTCGAATCTTCAGCAGAATATTGTCGACTGCAGTGTGTGTGTAAGATGTAAGAAGAACACTTTTGCCTTGTGCGACCAGGGCTCTAATGATATGGGCAATGGTTGTGGTTTTTCCAGTCCCAGGCATTCCAAGGACAAGAGCATAGTCTTTGGCACTCATGACCTTGTCAATGGCTTGTCTTTGATCCACGTTGAGATTGCCAGGATCGGAGATCGTGTATGAAGATGATGTCGTCTTGAAGGCGGGCGCTTGTCCCTCAACAATGAGCCGTCGAAGCTGCCTCGCTTGGAACAAGTCTTTATCCATCATACAGATGAGGTTGTTTCGAACAATGGCCATGCCGTTACTAAACTCGTCTTTGTCGATCCGGTAAACGAGCTGTTCATCGGGGTTTTCCAGGGCAGCAGGCTCTTCTTTTCCAACCTCCATGATTCCCCTGAAAGACTGATTTGTGACTGCATCGAAGCCAGCTGTCTTTGATCTTGCATTGTGAAGTTTCCGGTCCACGCCGACCTTGATGTGTGACGAACTAGTATGTACCACGTATCCGTTGGCGAGAGCAAAATGTCCCTTTTCATCTGAAACGACAATCGGTTCACCCACAGATATTTGTGATTCAGCAAAGGAGAAACCAGGAGGCGCTTGTCTTTTGACGAACGTATAATGGTAGCGATTTATCTTTGTCCCACTGTTCTCCTCATACACAGAATGAGGATCGATAACGACATCCCCGAAGCATCGACCTAGGGCTTCTCGCTCGCTGCTCAGTAATGTCCAAAGCTCTCGCCGGAACTTCACGAGATTGCCTTCTTCTTTAGTCAGAAGTTCATCCCATTTACGGAAGAAGTCCCGATCACCATTGTTCAGATGACCGACAGCTGCATCAAAGTCCTCGCCAAGTGCGCTGGTCTCGCCATCGCCATCCTCGGAGAGCTTGTGATAGATGAGGCAAGGGGTCTTGGCATAGCATCGAACACATTGACGAGCTTTCTTCAACATCGGTGGAAGCTGCTGCCTTTCGCGAATATAGCCAGCGAGGTGATTGCGTACCTGAATCATCTGGAGTAGTTCGTGTCGGATTCCACGGATACTGAGTGTTTTTGTCAACTCGAGGTAGTAGAGAAGCCCAAATGTAACATCGATATCTGCAACAATTGTTAGCGGCTAGTCAACTATCCGAAAGAGGATTGGAGGCTTGGGAGAACATCTCATCACTTACCATAGCGATCCGACAGGAGTAGAGTGTAGAGAGCTGTTTGAGCCCTATGTGACTGGTTTGTGTCTCTTCGTCCAGTCTTAAGCTCCAGCGGGACCACCAGGTTCTTCTCCATGTTATCCTCACGACAAGTGACTTGTACCGTCGCATCGATGTTGCCTTTGAGGCCATACATTGGGGACCAGATGTGCTCTTCTACTTCAAGCAGTTTGTTAATACTCAAGTTTAGCTTAGTGCTATTGCGGTCTTCAACCATAGACTTGGTCTATTGATCTTGGTTAGCAACGATTCTTGGCCAAAAGAGCCCTCCATCGACCGTGAGACATACCTGTGGCTTGATATGCAGGAAAGCATCTGCCCAGTCGAGAACAGCAGGCATCCTACTCATGAGATATTCAACAGCTTCAGGGATACTCATTTGAATCGAGTACAGCTCTTCAATGTGTCTGCCCATGACTGTTTCGACCAATGTCTTCAATGACTCCATATCCCATTGGTTCGCTTTGAGGGCTTCTTGAAAAACTTCGTGGAAAAACACTCCGAAGGCTTGCGGTCGCTCGAGTGCGCCAATGACTTTGACTCGGTCTTGAAGCACAGCTCGTCGCTGGCAGTCTATCGAGTCTGCTACGACCGTAGCAGAAATGAGATGGTCGGGGTGAAGGATGATCATGTGGTTCAAATTATCCACCACGCACTGGCCAGCTGCGTTGAAGTCCCCGACCAGGTGGATATACGAGTCCTTGCTGCAGGGGGTGTCAAACCATGACTCTCGCAGGACAATAACCTTGCGGTCTCGGGTTTTCTCGTCTTCAACTAGCAACCCCTGTGCTTAAAGTCAGCGGACGGGACTATATCCGGGGCAAGGGCAAGGTATCTGACCTGCTCTGGCTGAGTACGTCCTTTTGGAGTAACATATGTGCTCTTCATGATGTCAACGATCTGGTAACGTTTGATGGCTTGTCGACCTTTTAGGTTCTATTTGTTTTGACTCTCTTAGCATATATCTAGAAATTAACCGACTAAGAGTGACTAACATAAGTGGGTCCTCCTTCATCTGCTTGCTTCATAGTTTGCTCAATGGCCTCCAGATCAAAATCATCATCAAACTCATCATCCGATGATGCCGCCTCAGGTTTGACAGATGGGGCGGTTAGGGGTTTGCTATGAATACTGCCATTCGTTGGGACATTCATTGCATCTGACTTTTGCAAAGATGGCCCAGTGCATGTTGGCTTTGATGAATTGATCGGAACAGGCTTTGTGTCACATTTTGCAAGTATTTCCTGCAAGTTGTCAGGCAGATCGTCATATTCATCTTCAAAGTCATCGAATTCATCGCGTTTTGTTTCGTTAGTCGTATTGTTTTGGGGTATGGGTATGGGAGGTTTGATGTCTAGCATTGAATTCTTGTTGGGCTGCCATGAACGAGACTTTTCTGCGTCAATGGTAGCCCAGCCAGAAGACCCCAGAGAAGCAAACTCATTAGATGTATTTGACTGCTCAATGAAAGGGTCCTCCGAGGCATCGGCCAGGTCAATTAGACCTTGATCAAGATCATCATCTCCAAACTCGGATGACGACTCCTGAAGAATAGGGAGTTTCCTAGGTTTTACTTGTTCAAGCGGTACAGCACATGGGGATTCGGCGGTTTCTTCGTCGGCCTCGTGAAGCCTGTTGCCCTTTGTGGGTGAAGACGATCGACACCTTCGCGCATCCATATGTTGGCGTAGAGGCGATGATCCAGGTGGACCCGCGTTGGCAGGGGCCATGTGTATACTTTTCTCAATCTTCTCCATAAGATAGTTAATCCTCGAAGACTTGGGTCTCCCAGATTCGACATTACTGCTAGTTCGTTGAATGCCGCGACTGGGACCAACATCTAGTCTATTGACTCGTCGTCGTTTTGTTCGAGAGGTGGGGAAATCGGTAGTGCAGCTAATCGCGCGTCTCAGCCCTGACGAGTCTCGACTTGTTCTGCCTGATCCTGGTGTCTGGGGCGACGAGGAAAGAAGATTCGCGAACCGTGGCGGTGGAAGATCATCCGGGCCATCGACCATGTTTTTATCCATGTAGTTATTCCACAATTCAGCAGCCATATCATGCTGCGGTGTCTTGAAGAGGGCTTGTATTGAATGAAGATCAAGGGCTTCTTTTTGCGCCTTCTTTTTATTCCCGTTCGAGGGAGAGCCAGCAGGCGAAGAACTGTGCCGGCGCTTCCTGCGACGACCCGCTGGTGTTTGGGATGAGGTGTCTGGGTTCGAGCTGGCAGGCACATGCTGCCAGATGACATGCTCAACTGGCGTCACCTCCGGGCCTGGTGTTGGATCAAACGAATCCTCGGCATTGCTGATCAAGTCTGCCAGAGGTATCCTGTTTCCCGGAGTCTGAGGGCATTCTTTAATCGGCTTTGATTCTTGTACTTGGAGTTCCGTTGCTTGAGCTGCGCGAGGCGGAGGACATCCTTTGTCAGAAGACGCCTGCATCGGCTCTGCCACACCGTTGGAGTCCTGGTTTTTCTGTTCTTTGCTCCCATCAACTGATTTCGTCTCGTCTTTTAAGGTGGCGCCGTTCGGAACTACTTCGCCTTCTTGGAAACGAAACGCGTTCAATTTTGTTCTTGAATTTGAGGATATGGGGTATGCATTGTTTGTTGCCATTGCTTCGATTCAGAAATATCCAATGACGCGCGTTCAAAATTGGTAAGGATACATTCCGCGGGAAGCTGGAGCAGGACAATGTCAGAAATGTGGATATATTGGGGGTTTGAGATAAAACATACCAGTTGAAGGATGGTATTTACCGGTTCGATTGCTTCGGATATTTGTGCATATGAAAAAAAATGAAACGAATGGCGAGTCCAGCGCCTTGCTGGCGGGCATGGGGGAGAGGGCCAGATGTGATAGGAACGCGTCGCGTGTGTAGTGCTGACACCTATTTCCCAAGGCAGGAGCGTAGTTCTGCCTGAAAGATTAGGGTGTGAAAGCGGACAGGAAAATTGCCCAAAGTGGACTAGCGCGATAACTGGACAGCTTCCCGGCCTTTTACGGCTTCAACATCAACCCGCCGAAGCACCCCTCCACTCTCCTACAAGAGGCAACATATCAATTGAGACCGTCCTTGCCACTCGAATTTAAGAGGACATTCTGTCCCTTGTGACTCCCACCAATTTTCTCGCACGCCAGTGTTCCTTCGATCGGCCTCAATCCTCCTTCACCCCCATCTTCAAGATGACTGCCCGGCCATTGTCGCACATCCTCCGGGCTCGCTGCCTGCTTCGCCAGCCTCAGAACACCCAGGCATTTTCAACTCGATCAACTCTCCGTGCTGCGGATCACGGTGACCACTATGATCCTCCCACCGGCTGGCTGTTCGGTGTCAGGCCCGGCCAGAAGTACGTGAAGGAAGGCTGGGAGAACATTTGGTACTACGGATTCATTGGAAGCTTTTTGGTCGCTGGTGTCGCATACGTCTTCAAGCCTGATACTTCGTACGTATAACCCATATCCAGACCCGGCGCCTCGAGATTGGCGTCTATGCCCCTCGCACAACTGGAATACTGACAATTACGATAGTATACAAACATGGGCTCTCGAAGAGGCCCGACGGAGACTGGAAGCTGAGGGTATCCTCGAGGACCCCGAAAAGGTCAAGAAATAAACGCTAAATTTGTACGCTGTACATAGAGATCAAAGAGGGACTACTTCGATTTATGCCTGTACTACCTGCGACGGCAGATATGATGTTCCGGTCTCGTTCTTAGACAGGTTTTTTTTTGCATGCTCATTTATTTTCGTTTGTTCCTTGTTATATCACTTTACACTTTTCGAAGTTTCTTTCCGTCATGTTGGTTATAGGTGCTCGGGTCGCAACAAAATGCTTATAATTCGCACTGAGTACGTCATGAAATGATCTCAGTCAAACGGCACGAAAGTTGACAAGAATAGGCGGCCGCATATGCGGTCTTGTGATGTCTTTTTGGTAGGTGTTTTTAGTAGTCTTTAAGTAATCTTTTTAGGTAGTCTTTTTAGATGTCCTTTTCATAAATGTTTTGTCCCCTTCTCACGTTCATACATAGATGGCAGGAAAAGGCGGCAAAAAACTTAATTTGTAAAATCGACTTCTATATGTATAACCAGGCTCTTAACTGTTCACATGGGTTTCAAATCTCTGGATATAGATCATTTCTCCGAAGCAACGGCATTTCACGCCTAATCTTTGCCACGAGATCGAGATCAATATCGGCAGTCGCGATTTGTGGTTCCTGGTGCTCATCTCCCAGCTTTGCTACCACTTCACCCCACGGGTTGATGATAATAGAATGACCATAGCTTCGTCTCTTCTCGTTATGGGGGCCTGCCTGCGCAGCCGCAATCACGTATGACTGGGTCTCAATAGCCCTTGCGCGTAGCAGAGGCTCCCAATGGGCCTTGCCCGTCGGAACAGTGAATGCTGATGGGTATGTAATGATTTCAGCATTCTGCCGTCTCAATGCCAGGCTGATCTCTGGGAAACGCAACTAGATAATCCAGCATGAGTAAGAAGTTGAACCGGCTGATGTCTAATATCTGATGCCACAACGACATGCATTGTACTTACATCAAAACAAATACTTAGACCAACACGCCCTATGGGTGTGTCAAATGGCTTTGGAATTTGTTGCCCTGGCTGGACGCTCCTAGATGGTATGGTTCAAGATTAGCGAATGATAAGTCAACTATGGGATCTAAGAGAACAAAGGCTTACGCGCTCTCCTTGAGTACAGGTCCGTCTTTGATATCAACGTCAAACAGGTGGATTTTCTGGTAGGTTTGGGTAATGGCTCCGTTGTCGTCGATCCAAATCAATAGATTCTTGAGCCTGGTTTCAGAGGCTACTTCATGAATCCCAACACTGATGTGGATGTTTTGTTCCTTGGCATCTCTTTGTAAGGATGACACAAAGCTCACCCTCTCTTCAGACTGGGCGAGTGAGTAGGATTGCTCTGCCGAGGATGCGATATAGTCCGATGCCTCTGGAAGAAATAGCACCTAACATATATGAGCTGCCTATCGAAGATTTGGCAATAGAATATATAAATTATCACCTTTGCGCCTGCAGCAGCAGCCTTTTGAACCAGCACCTTGCACTGAGCTAGATTCGAAGTTATGTTGCTAGTCGAGCATATCTGCCCCACGGCCTAGATCAGAGCAGGTTGTTAGCCGTGTGGCTCATGCCCGATGGATGGTGTAGCACATACCGCTAAAACCATAGTGGCGGAATTTGATAATATGAAAGAAATCAAGAATAAATCAGAAAGCAGGCCCTTTACGAGAGAAATACCTCTGTTGTAGCAATCAAATGGCATCTTTCGACCCCAAAGTGACGAGCCCACCTGCTGAGTAAGCCAGTTATCGCGATGATCAGCGATAACCATTCTTCCCGCCAAGACTCTCACCTCGGATCTTTCACGAGACACACAGGTTCTGACAGATTCAGCAACTGCTAGACGGCAGAATCTTATCGTCGCAATGAAGAGTTTAAGGAGAGACTTGTCTGCCAACCCGCAGGCTGCAAATGTTACCAGCAAGGTCTTCGTTAGGTCCACGAAAAGTGGAAAAGTGCAAAAGATTGTCCGCGAGCTCTATTTGAGAGAAGATATTCCTTGCTCTTCTAAGCTCTGCTCACAATGCCCGACCATTGCGCCGGCTGATGCCAATGGAAACAGTAAGGAAATGATTCCGGCGATGGTCAAGCAAGTTGCTAATGCAAACCAGTTGCGCCGTTCATCCTATCCGATCGCCCCGCCGGCACAACGGCATTCCCGCGAGGCCACTATCTTGTTCCAGATACAAATGCGCTACTTAACGGAATGGATCTTTTCGAGCACACTGGGGCCTTTTACGATGTGATTGTCCTCCAGACCGTCCTCGAGGAATTGAGAAACCGATCACTACCACTTTACAACCGTCTTCTGGCCCTCGTCAAGTCAGATGAAAAACGCTTCTACCTCTTTTTCAATGAGTTCCGCCGAGAGACTCATGTTCGGAGAGGTCCGGAGGAAACAATCAACGATAGGAACGATCGCGCTGTGCGCTTGGTAGCAAGCTGGTACAGTTCCCACCTGCAACAATCTGCGAAAAAGGGAAAGAAGGAGAAGGCGATTCCGGCGATTGTGGTCATCACTGATGACAAGGAGAACCTTCGAAAATGCAAGGAAGAAAATGTGGCAGCCTTGTCGCTATCCGACTATGTCTCCGGTTTGGAGGGGTCCGAAATGTTGTTGGATATGATCAGCGAGTCAAAGGATGCGCGAGAATCCAGAGAAACAAATCGCGGGGAACTATTCTACCCCGAATACTTCTCAATGTCAAAACTCACGACTGGTCTGCGAGCCGGGACATTGCACCAAGGAGTGTTCAATGTTTCTCCTTACAACTACCTGGAAGCCTCCGTCAAGACCGCAGCTTTCGATAAACCTCTTCTCATTCTGGGCCGTGATAACAGTAACCGCGCTATTGCAGGTGATTCTGTCGTGGTCGAAGTACTACCACAGGATCAGTGGAAGAGCCCTTCGACTAAGATTGTGGATGAGGAAGCTGTGACCCGTAATGATAACCCCGATACTGAGGAGACCGAAGCTGTGGTGACGGACCGAGAACGTAAAGCTCTCCAGGAAGAAGTCAAAAAAGCCCATGGCAAGAACTCGGATGGCAAGCCACAACCTACTGCCAAGGTTGTGGGTGTGATCAAGCGCAGCTGGCGTCAATACGTTGGCCACGTTGACTCGAATTCCACTGGCTCACAGGCCTCTGGTAGACGGCAACAAAATGTTTTCTTACTGCCCATGGACAAGCGTATCCCGAAGATCAGAGTACGCACAAGACAGGCTAGTGAGATTCTCGGCCAGCGTATTCTTGTCACCATCGATTCTTGGGACCGCGATTCGAGATACCCCACCGGTCACTTCATTCGCTCTCTGGGAGAGCTTGAAACCAAGGGCGCCGAAACCGAGGCCCTATTGCTTGAATATGACGTGCAGTACAAGCCGTTCCCGAAGTCTGTACTGGACTGCCTTCCATCTGAAGGACATGATTGGAAGGTTCCTGTCTCGAAAGAAGACAAGGGCTGGAACGGCCGGAAAGATCTTCGAGACTTGCTTATTTGTAGTATTGATCCACCCGGCTGTCAGGATATTGACGACGCCCTTCACGCGCGTCTCCTGCCGAATGGAAACTATGAGGTCGGTGTCCACATTGCAGATGTGTCGCATTTCGTTAAGCCCAACAACCCAATGGATCTCGAGGCCAGTGTACGCGGAACCACCGTTTACCTCGTCGACAAGCGTATCGACATGCTCCCGCATCTTCTTGGTACAGATCTGTGCTCGCTCAAGCCCTATGTTGAACGATATGCCTTCTCAGTTCTGTGGGAGATAACACCTGATGCCGATATAGTGTCTTCCAATTTCACCAAATCGGTCATTCGCTCCCGGGAAGCATTCAGTTACGAGCAAGCTCAGTTACGTATTGACGACAAATCACAGCAGGATGAGCTGACTGAAAGCATGCGCACCCTCTTGAAATTCTCCAAGGTTCTTCGTCAGAAGCGTATGGACGCTGGTGCCTTGAACCTTGCCTCCCCGGAAGTCCGCATTGAGAGCGAGGGCGACGAAGTGGGCGATCCTTTGACGGATGTCAAGACCAAGGCTATGCTTGACACCAATAGCTTGGTCGAGGAGTTCATGCTTCTCGCGAATATCACTGTTGGCTCGAAGGTCTACGAGTCCTTTTCTCAGACTGCCTTGCTACGTCGACACGCCACTCCCCCGCCTCAGAATTTCGAGGACCTTCAAAACCAACTGTCGAAGAAGCGGAACATGGAGCTTGATGTTTCCAGCTCGCGAGCTCTGGCTGATTCCTTGGACCGCTGTGTTGATCCCAAGAACCCATTCTTCAACACCCTGGTCCGTATCTTGGCGACTCGCTGCATGACCTCTGCCGAATACTTCTGCGCTGGTGCCTTTGCTGAATCTGAATTCCGTCATTACGGTCTCGCCTCACCCATCTACACCCACTTTACTTCACCCATTCGACGATATGCCGATTTGATGGTTCACCGACAATTAGCTTCTGCCATTGGGTATGAAGGCGAGGATGGACACGCAGTCATCGAGGGTGTCAGCACCCGCAACAAGCTAGAGGACATCTGCCGGAACATCAACGTTCGTCACCGCAACGCACAGCATGCCGGCCGCGCTAGTATTGAATACTACGTGGGTCAGGCCTTGAAGGCCCGCGGAGAGAAGATGGCCGCTGACGGTGTTGATGCGGGTATTGAAGAAGAGGGATACGTGATGCGTGTGTTCGAGAATGGTGTTGTCATCTTCGTTCCCCGCTTCGGTATTGAAGGTGTTGTTCGTCTGGAGGACTTCGTCCTGCCCGGTGAATCTGGAGCTCGTTCTGTTGCCGAGAGACGGGAGCTAGCTCCTCACCGCACCACGGAGTTTGATAGCGATGAATACACCCTTCGTGTCGAAGAGAAGGGTCACCCAGAGAAGGAACGCAGTGTGACTGTTGAACTCTTCCAGAAGGTTCGTGTCAATGTCAGCTCCGTTAAGGAGGAAGGCCGTGGCGCCGGCAAGAGAAGGGTCCGGATTCTGGTTACGGAGGCATGAACCAAAAGCTACATCTATGTAGATTAGATCTAGTGTTCAAAAAGGCGTTAAAATCAAATGAAAGATAGACGATTGTCTATTTTTGTATGTTCATTGTGTCTAGCATATCTGTACTGTGTACTACGTATTTATATTTAGACCTTTTTCAAAGTGATCATTCTGCGAACCAAGCTGACCGGAGCCCATAACGGAGCATCTGTTCCAGTGGCCTCCAAGGCCGGGGAAATAGTCGCAGGGCGTTCTTGTTTTTCATTTTCACCGTGAGTTCCAGTCAACGGGCCAGGCTGGACGATGGAATCATGCCGTCCCTGAGCACGCTCCAACTCGCCGACCTTCCAACCACGGACGACCCACAAACACAAGGAAGCACCAAAATACATAAACCCAGTAAATAATTGAACGCGCAGATATGAAGTTCCACCACCAATATCATGGCTGCGGAGCTGAAGGGCGATAGCCTCAGAAACAGTACAAGGGGCAACAAGCGTGAGCCAGGTAATGCTCAAGCCGGAAGGGAGATCTCTGATCCCAATAATCTCCGCCAGAACGGGCGAAACAGTAGCCCAATATGTGCCTGCAACAGTGCCAACCAAAACAGCGAAGAAGCATACCACACCCATACTATCAGCAGAAGTCCAGATGGCGAGACAGAATAGACCGCAGAGGAATGTCAGGAATGTCGCAATGTTAATGCGACCAAGCCGGTCACTGAACATGCCAACAAACGGACGACCAAGTCCCTGACCGAGGTTGAGCAGCGCCGAGACAATACTCCCCTGGTGCGACGAGAGACCGACGGAGAGAGCAAAGTTGGCAACGCTGAACAGTAGCGCCACATAGCCGAGCATACTGAACATACCCCACCCGAGGAAGAGCAGAAACTCCGGGCGACGCAAAAGGGGCAGAGGGAAAGCCGTGAATCTACTACCGACGGCCTTATTGCGGTCTCGGAGCAAGTTACAGCAGACCAGGTTCACGACGCAGGAAATGATACCCAAAATGCGGAATGCCCAGCCCAACCCGTAGCGCGGGATAATGGCGCCCACTGCAAGGGAGTAGATCAGGCCGCCGAGACCAGACCCGGCGGCGTTGATGCCCATCGCTACACCACGGTGCTTGTCGAACCATTGCGGGGTGATGCCGACACTGCCCACGAACAGAAAGCCCATGCCCCAGCCGAAACAGACACCTTGGCTGAGGAAGATGTGCCATTTCTGGGTCGCAAATGATGACCCTATTAGAGAGAGGGTTTCAAAGAAGACTCCCAGGTTGAGTACAAATCGTACACCCCATTTTTGGATCAGGTAGGTGGCTAATGGAGCCACCAGAAGGGCACAGGAGATGCTCAAGCCGCCTGTGAAAGCGTATGATAGGGCAGATGTATTGGGGAATACATTGTGTGAGAGGTAATAGCTCAGAAAGACTCCGTAGCTCTGGATATTAGACTTGTTAGTATGATGCTAGTGAAAAGGGCGAAGATATATGACTCACGCTATTAATGCCCCAGGTATGTGCATTTATCCAGAAAACACAGGCGACACAGACCCAGCCATAGCCACCGTCCGGGGCCACATCGCGCTTATATTTTTCATCTTCGTCAACGTCTAGTGGTGCCGACTCTGGATGCAACTTCTGTTCCTGTTTTGCGCCCTCTCGGTCCAGATCATCTTGATGGGAACGGATTATATCAATTGGCACATTATCTGCCATGATAGATCAGATACAAGCCCAGCTTGTGGTTATATTATGAGATAATGGGCTCCTTAGAAAGTAGACCGAAACCAGTTACCGTTTTCGTCACGACATGGAAGTATGTAGTGAAAAGAAGCAAAAGACCTAGGTTAGCACGCTAACAAAAAAAGGGACTGGATTTCTATCAGTTTATCATTGGTAATAATTGGAGTAATCGGATTATCGGATTATCGGACTAAATGCCGAATCCAAGGAACATGGTTCGGATAGAGGGAAGATGCCCGGGTGGCCAGGACCTCGTGGTTTATTAGTTGCATTCGGTGACATTTGACCAATGAAGGAAGCTGATCTAGTGGCAGCTCCCTTGTACAACTATGCGAAGCTGTGCAGCTCTCGAGGTGTCAGCGTTACTTGGCTGTGGGGTCTTCTTGTGCCGAAAAGCCGATGCGGAGAGAGTCCAATCGAGTCCAATCGAGTCCAATCGAGTCTCAGTTGGGCAGATATGTGGGGGATTTTTGAGTCATTCCAAGGTTTGAGAAATGGATGTCATAGCTTAATTAGGAAGATGTATAGGGCTGATACTTTATTAACTAGAATAGATGGACTTGAATCTGCACCTACGTTGTCCAATATATAGGGCTTAAGAGAGCCAAGCCCTTATCAGCAGCCCTGGAGATAAATGCTGAGTAATCCGTTGCCTCGCGACGGACCGTAGGGGTTTGTTTGGGAGGGGACACCAGCCCAATGACGCGCTAGCCAGCTCAGACCGTCAAGTGTAGATCGCAACTAGACTCTTCTCATCTTAGTTCATTTTGGTCCCTCTTTCCTGTACTTATCCGTATATCTCTTCACATCCTTGATCCTTGCAATTTCATGATGCATAAACATTCCACTAGTCAGAGGAAGGTTTCACCTCCTGGTCCATCCTTCATGTCCAATGATCAAGTTTGTAAGTGACTCTTTGGTGCTCGACGGCTCAGAGCTGATATGAGTCAATAGCAACATACTTGAAGGACTTACGGGCAAATCGTCCTGCCCGCCCGACAGGATCCCGTCCATACCCAGGCAGATCAGCCGCATCAACAAGCGATCTGCCTGATAACCTTCCCCCAAGGGCATCATCGGCATTCTCCATGCGCGCCCCAGTCGAAGATGAAATTGAAGATCACCGACGCTCAGGCAGCGCAATGTCCCATCGCCGGACGAATTCCCATGTGCCTGGCGGCGGCGGAGTGGGTCGTCCTTTAGCCCAGGAGCCACGCACGCATTCAATCCGAAAGAACGTGTTTCCAGCACAAATTCATGCACGTTCAATTCCCATCCCGGCATCCCCAACTCTGTCCTATCGTGAAAATGGTCAACGACGACACGAAAAGGAAGAGGCACGGTCACTACGAGATGCCTTACAGAAAATGGATATCCTGGATGATGTTGGTCTTCACCAAGCAGCCCAGGATGAAGCCACAGAGCTAGTTTGGATGCACCAGAATCCTGGTCAAGCTTTCAAAAACCCTTATGCGCCTTACCAAAATCCCGATGCCAACAGGGGCAGCCAGAGCCCTGTCCGAAATGGTTCACGAGGATCTAACCCCTCGATCCATAGATTCAGCCAGTCAACAGGCTCAAGTGTCTCCTCTGATGGTAACTCTAGCCCTGAGTCACTGCGGAAGCGATCATCTCTGGCTGGGCCGTCGAAGAAGAATCTCAAAGTTAACTTTAAACTACCCGACGAGGAACCCGAGCAGTCTGTTGCTCCCAAACCGCGGACTGTTAGCAGTGATTCATCTAAAGGAATTTTCAGGAATCCTAACGACCAAATTTACGAAGAGCCTATTGATGCTCAGAAGGAAGCCGAAGCAAAGCCGGATTTTTCTAAGTCTGACTCGTCCGCTTTGAAAAACAAGCCGCGCAACGCACTGGGGCGTATCCCTAGGCCGCTGCCTTGGTTGCAGAATAGAGCTCACAGCAGCCCTGTGATGGATAAAATCTCACGGTTCGAAAACCACAAGAACCCTCCCACCCAGTCACGTAATGCCGGCTATACTCGAAACGAAAGCGCTACTCCTCCTCCGACTCAGTCGAACAACGCCGGTTACACTAAAAATGAGCGTGCTACTCCTCCTCCTCCTCCGGAACAAAACAATGAATCTGTCCTCACCAATGATGGAAGAGAGAGACGCAGTGACGATATCCGTGCAGCTACAAGCAAACGGAGAGGGGACCGCAGTGAGAAATTACCAATGCCTTCAGCCGTCAGTGATAGAGTTGGACGCCCAATCGTGAGCTTTGACCAAACTTGGAAACCAACCGATCAGCCGAAGCCTCATCGTCCAACCCTACCCGTGATTGAAGTGGCAGCACCAACCATTGAAGTCTCAGCCCCCTCAATTGAAGTCTCCGAGCCGCCTCCAATCCCCGTGATCAATATCCCGGACATCAAAGTACCCACCATTTCCGAGATAGAGGCTTCTTCCAAGCAATCCACCAAACCAATGCCCCAGCCGACGAGAAACAGCCCAAATAAACAGGCTTTCCCGAAACAGCAGGGATCTGATTCGCAGAGCCGTTGGTACTCGCCATATACACGATCGGGTGTCCCAACTGCAAGCTGTGAGCTATGCACGCTTTCGATTTCCGGAAAAATTGTGACCGCTGGCGGATGTCGATTCCACCCGGAGTGCTTTACTTGTTTCCACTGCCACACAGCTCTTGAGTGTGTGGCTTTCTACCAAGAACCGGAGTCTAGCAGAGCCGAGAGACTAGAAACAACCGACACTCATGACCATGAGGCCCGTGTGCCACGGTTCTACTGCCACCTAGATTTCCACGAGATGTTCAGCCCCCGTTGCAAGAGCTGCAAGACCCCTATTGAAGGAGAAGTGGTAGTGGCATGTGGTGCTGAATGGCATGTCGGCCACTTCTTCTGCGCAGAATGCGGTGATGTATGTGTGAATTTCCTTTCTGATACTTCCACACGCCAGACAACTGACTATCCTCATATAGCCCTTCGATTCCCAAACTCCCTTCGTCGAGAAAGATGGCTTCGCATGGTGTCTCCACTGCCACTCCCGCCGTACCGCCCCACGTTGTCTGGGCTGCAAGCAGCATGTCATGGACGAAGTTGTCATCACCGCAATTGGCGGCCAGTGGCACGAGCGCTGCTTCAATTGTCACGAATGTGGCGATGGTTTTGGCCCAGAGGGTCGGTTCTTCGTTCGTGAGGGCGAGCCCAAGCGAACTGCTAAGGGCCGTGTCATCGGTGGTCCGGTCCAACTAGCTATCTGTGAAAGATGTGAAGGGATCCGTCTTAAGGCGCCCGGGATGTGCTAGACTTTTCACCTTCTAGTTGCGGTCTACCACTACTATGTTTTAACGAGATTACTGCTTTTATGATAGATTCACGCATGATGTCGGTGTTTGATTGTTGCATCAGTTGATTCTTGATTTGTTTGCATGTGTTCTACAACCCTTTTTGGGGTTCATTTTCGGAGTTTGTTCGTATTTGTGTTATGTTTTTGTTAGCCAGCGAAGATTGTCAGCGATGTTGGAGTATGATATTGGCAATGCATTTAGAATGGGAGTGAGAAAAAAAACGCCTCAAAACACCTCTCTCTCTTATCATCGTATTATTGAGATCAATGATTTCAATAACTTCCCATACTCTCCTCTCTAATTAGGTATCTAATCCCCTCCACTCCTTTTCAAGCAGGCCACTCAGGATCGGCCTTGCGTCTGAAAACAGCAACATACTTGTTACCCTTATTTCTCGTAACCTTCTTCGACTCCTCTGTCTCAAACTTCATAACCCGCACACAGGGATCAAGAGCGAGCTCCTCCTCAGAAACTCGCTCAAACAGATCCTTACTGCTTGCAGCAGGAGCAGGCCCACCCTCCGGCTGCTCGCCATGCAGGAAATGCCGCAGGACCCAGTGGTGATACTCCTCGACATCGGTAATGGTGTACAGCAGACCGCCGGGCCGCAGGACAAACGCATACTCGGAGTTCAGGGACTCGGAGATAATACGGGCCTTGTGCTTACGGGCCTTGAAGTGCGGGTCCGGGAAGCAAATGAAGATCTTGGAGAGTTGGTGGTGGCCGAAGAAGTTGGGGAGGAACTTCATTGTGTTGCTGCGGATTGCGGTGATATTTTCGAAGTTTCCTGGGAAGAGTTTCTCCGTGCCGATGTCATCGTCGTTGGCCGGGGCCGGGGCCGGGGTTGATTCGGTGTTTTCGGGTTCCGTCGAGGCATCTTGGGGTTCGGTTGATGATGCGTTCGCGGCTTTGTTCTTCAGGCGTTGTTGCTGGCTGCGTAGCGCGTGGATGCGAGAGCTGAGGTATTCCAGCACTGAGGTACGGATTTCCATGCCTGTGGGTTTGTTGTTAGTTTCGCGGTGCTCACTCGGCCGGGTATAGATATCAATGGGTTGTTATATATCGCTGCGCTGTACATACCAACCATTAGGGTATCTGGCAGCAATGGCGCCAGACCAACCATCAGTCCGCCGAATCCACATCCGATATCCACGACTTCGACCTCCTTGGTCAACTTGCGCCCTCCGCTGAGATTCGTTTTGGACGCATCTGGATCCACAAATGCAGGGTAATGGGATGACCAGTCCATATGCGCGGGGCTGATGGGGCTATTCAAGGATCAGTTAGCTATCGGTTCGCGATCGGATGTGTAGGAATTGTCGCCAGTGAAGCTCAAGAGCCCCATGGATATTCTCATAGAAACGATTCAACGTGAAATAGGCAAAAGAGGATACATACTACTCTAGCCGGTGGTCAGAGAAGGGATTCGCATGCGCGCGCTGGCGGAAGAATTTCTTCTGCGGCATCTTGATGACGGAGCCATCTGTGGATTCCTGCTGGGCCTGTACTTTGCGACGGTATTCTTCACGCTTGACGCGCTTTGCAGGTGGGTTTTGGGTGGCCATTGTGAAGAGCAGACAACCTTTGGAAGCAGAGGAAAGTCGAGAGAAATCGAAAAGGCCGAAGTCGAAATTGAGAAAATCCGGCCCCACCTTTTACTCCACAGCTTGGAGTCGCTCTTGTGTCTTCTTGTCTTTTAACATTCTACTTGTCTTGTATTTTCTACTTCTATTTGAGCTATTGAGCTATTTGATATTCCCTCTTCACTATTTAATTCCCTCCAAAATGACGACAACACCCCCCTTCCCCTTCCCACCAACATACAATTTCCCCCCCTTCTTCACCCCGCAACCAAACACAACAACCCGCCACTCGCAGCTCGAGAAATGGTCCTCTCTAATCCAGTCCTGGTGCCGGCATCATCGTCATTACCGTCTCTCCTTAATCGACGCCGTTGAAACCCCGCTCTTCCACAACACAACTCTGCGCAAGCGCCTCGATCTGCGCGAGGCCCGCGAGGTAATCGACTGGATGACCAAGAGCGAAGAGGAAGGCGGCGGTGGGCGGCGAGCGGAGTGGATCTCTGATGGTGGGGGTGCGTCGTCTTCAGTGACTTTGGTAAATGGCGCTGGGCAGGGACCGAAGACAGTTGCGTGGATTTGGTGGAGGCGGCCTGAGGAGTGGGCGGATGTGTTGGTTGAGTGGGTTGAGGGTACTGGGCAGAGAGGGTCGGTTCTGACTGTCTATGAGCTTATTCATGGGGAGGGGGCTATGTCGCAGGGTAAGAACTCTTTGGTTGTGGGTGATAGTGTCTACGGGTTGTGCTGATTCGTGTCTACAGAGTTCCATGGCATGGATACTGATATCATGCTGCGGTCCCTGAATGTCTTGGTTAAGAGGGGCAGGGCCCAGATTTTCGGTGGTGAGGGCCAGGAGGGTGTTAAGTTCTTTTGAAGAGCTCAAGATGAGATGCTGGGATTTCTCTATGAGATAAATCGTGGCTATTCGTGACAAAAACAAAGCGCTTCTCATGTGCAGTCAAAAGACATGTCAAATCACATCGCCAATACTCCAAGATTATAGACAGAATCCATGTTCTTGGGTTGAAAGCCCAAAAGTGGATGAGGAGTGTGGACTCAATACCTTGGTATCAGTCTACTGCTCCATCTTCTCGATCATCTCCTCAGTCAGCTCGTATTCGTCGGTGGCACGTGTCTCCTGCGACATGGCCATGTCCAGAAGCCAGTCAACTCGGACGATCCGTGGAGTTTTCTTGATATCCAGCGCTAATTGACGGAAGCGAGGCCAGACTCGACCGTGGTTAGCTCCGGCGCTGCTGAGAAGAAAGACGTCCTTGCGGGCAGGGTTGTCGTCTTCTGCTTCGCTTTCCTCGTCGCTCTCCTCCCGCCGAGAATGATTCGCTATGGCCAGACGGCCACGGAAAAGCATGCACTCTCCTCCGTTTGTTTCAACGATAGATTTGAATGCATCGAATCCGCCTCGAATGTCCTCGACACAATAGATGCGATAGCCCTGCAGCATTTTATTCTTGTTCTTCTTTGCGTTTGTTGTGACAGAAGACAGGTCAAAATTGTACTTCTTCTCGGCTTCTTTATCCTCCAGAGGGAAATCGGAGGGGTCAAGCAATTCCTCCTTCTTTAGGCAACTGGTGATGAAGTCTGTGCTCACGATCATCGGCGCATATGCGAGTGCATTGACAAATTTAGTGGTTCGCAAGATCGATGGTGCGGCCAAGTGAGTGCATCGTCGGGCATCTTGAACCACCATAATACCAAGATCTCGAAGGCCTCGCTGTGAAAGTGTCAGTAGATCTTGAGCCAATCATGTTTATAATTGCAATAGCCAAACAAACCTTGTCTGCATCCTCCTTCTTCTCGTTGCCTTTCCCTACCCATCTCTGATAGCCAGTAATCAACAGGTGCATAGCAATTGGTGGCCGAGACTTTTTCTGTTTTTTAGTCTCCAGCGCTTGCTCGCCATCGCTCTCATCCTCGGCTTCTAGTGAGGCACGCTTCTTGTTCTCCTGGATTCGGCCCTCGTCTGACTTTCGTCTGCCACCGTAGATGACACCTCCCACACGTTTTCTTTCCTTTTCGTACAAAGCAAGGTCCGGGGCATACTCATGGAGTCGGGCAGTTGCCGCCTCTTTTGACTTGCGGCTATTGGTCGACGATGGGGTCTCGTTCTCTTTGCCCTCAGACATAATTTGAGTTCGTGCGGGTGTTTGGACAGGTCGGCGTGACTTCCCATTTCCCTGCGGAGTACCGAGCGAAGTTTCTGGGGCATCCTCATCAATCTTCCGTTTCTTCTCAGCAGGAGGCTGTACCGAAACCATATTTTGGTTCTTACTCTGCATTGCGCGCCGTGGGCTATGAGCAACAGTCTCCCCGGGCGAGAAAAAGACCTGTTCTAAAACATTGCGGTCGAGCTGGGTCTGGCCTGCGACTTCTCCAAGATTGGTTCGCAGAGGGAAGTGGCTATAGCGCGGGTTTGAGGCCGGCTGTAGCTTCCATTTTGCATAACTGTCCTCCAGCCACAGGTGGTTGACAACTTCAAGGCCCCATTCCTTTGCCGCATTGCATTTCTCACTCGTCCCATGTGCCGTAATTAGATGGGTATTTTCTTGCTTTAAGGTTTTTGTACATTCTGCACCTGCTGCTGCGATCAAGTTCTCCAAGTAGATTCTTGCTTCGCCAACGTAATTGGACAAACTGATCTTCAAGCCTTCAAATCCAGGGATTCCAGTGCGAGATATCGGGTAGTGTAGTAGTCGTCTGAGGGGTGAAGTGTATGTGTTGAATGTCATGAGGCGGTAGAGCCACGCGAGGTTTCCAACGTCTATGTTCAGTCGCGATGCCGTGCGGTACGCAAATCCTTCTCGGTAACGACAAATTAACATGTCTGCCGCATCAATATTTGATGTCATTGTGGCACCGCCTTGTTCGAGGACCGTTTTGATTGATTCATGCAAGTGCGAGCCGATTCCAAGATCCGGAGATAACATGATAGATTTCCCTTCGAAGACACTCCGTTGGCCTGATTTATGTGCCGAACTGGATGGCTCGGGTAGCTTAGACGGGTCTGTTGTCGACGCACCGACCAAATCCTTATTCTCTTGCCATCGGATTGGAGTATCAGGACCTACGCGCAAGATCTCTGGGTCTGGAAGTGTGTATGGACGTTCATCGATTCTTCGACCAAGTTTAAGGCAGTCGTCAAACCTATTTTCAGTCAGCGAGGGTCTCTGGCTTTTGTATCATGGAACTCACCAGTGCGGTAGTACAATCTTCACGTTCAATTTCTTTGCCTGGACAATGCGCGCCTTGTCGGAATCGGCCGTGAGGTCCACCAGATGTGTAACCATCTGAGAAACTCTTGGTGCGTACAATCCACCTTTCGCGACCACACCACCTATGATTGCATCCTTGTCTCCCTCGGGTATGTCGCCGCAGGTAACCACTACATCATTCATGAACAGACGCGGGTCTGGGCTGTATTGGCGGGGGTTGGCCAATTTTCGCTTCGTCAATGAGTTATTCACCCATTGTGGCTTCACCACAGGGATCAGCGCATCGCAGGTAGTATCGTAGGCTTCGAAGTCAATTGTGGTAGAAATCAAATGGCTGAACTTGGCCACATCGGGGACCTCGGCACCCGGTTGGACAATCAGAGGCTCGCCGCCATTTTGTTCGAGAATTGTTGCCAGCTGAGCGATTTTATTTTGTCAGTCTAGTCGAAGCTGTATTAGTGGCGGGAAAATACATACCTGCTCCGCAGAGTCACTCGAGAGATCCTTGGAGCATACAATGCAAAGGCAACACTGCTCGAAAAGCTTAGACTCTCTGTTTTCAGCCGTCATGTCCAAAGCTCGAGGTTGAGTATGCAACTGAAGACTCGGTCGTTGATTTAAAAAATCTTCAAGAGGGTCACATCCAAGTGTAAAACCAAAATGAGGTAGTCGGGGACGCGCCCACGCGTGTCAGGAACGCCGGATCACGTGCACCATAGCGCGCGGAGATTGGACTCCGTAGTTTGATCTATCAAATTTGGAGACAAGTTTGGCTCTTCTTTAGTATAATCTAAGACACTTCTCCGTACTCTGTACACATTGTAGTTATAACCATTTAACATCAGCTCAGAATTGCAGTCAAATAAGCAACTTCCAAAGTCATATTTGGTGTATGCTTATAATCTACCAGATGGCACTTTCAGTTACAAGTATTGACTTGGCAGTCATTCAAAGCCCTGACCAGTAATCGCTCTCTTAATATAGAATAGAATAATAGAAAAAAGCTGGTCTCTGTACAACTATGTTTACTACCATGAGGTTTCGTTTATACATCCTAGGCGGTGTAATTCTGCCGAAAAGTGAGGTTATAATGAACTGAACGCATAGATATTTCGCCCTTCGGGGCATATGGTCAACTGAAAATATACAGAGAAGATTAGCATGGCCCCTGCACTAAGGATGACACGCTTAATCAAAGAGAAGCTACCTATTTTTTTATTTATTTACGCGAGCTCAATTAAGGCATTAGAGTACGGACATTTTGCTACAATGTATTTGATTGGTCCTATGCCATGTGGAGGTCACGTGGCGTCGCCGTTCGACCCACCGTATCTTCAAAAACTGAGGTTATATTGAGTTCCTGCAATAGACCTTTCGACCTTCAGGAAATATTTACATTAAAATATACAGAGAAAATTAGTCTGTTCCCTGCATGCGCTTGGATCACGCACCCAATCAAAGAGAAATTACCTATATTCTTTTCCTTTCGAGGTCCTTTACTGCAGTTACAATGTGTGTGGGTCTACAAGGACGACGCGCGATGAGACTGGAAGTCTGCACGTTCACCAGCCTGATAAAATAGGTAAGGAGGTGCTTTTCTGATCACCAAATGTAACTATGACTATGACTATGACTATTATTACATTTCATGGTGCGAATATGATGAACAATTGCTAATAAATTGAACTCGATTTATGCTCTCAATCAGACAAACCAGAGGCGTCTCCAACACATTTCAACTAACTCGCTCAGAACCAGTTTGCCACAGTGATCAACCAGGTGCGAAAAACTCTTAGTCTGATTGACTGCAATCTTCCTTCCTCATGCATACTCGGTCCATTTCTTCAGAGATAGGGCCATATGCCGCATCCAAATTGCTTGACGGCAGATACAGCCCAGCAAAGATATCAGTGACAGCATCAATCGGCCACTCTTCTTGGTCCTCGAGCTCAGAGTCAATCTCGGACACAGACTGGGACACATTTTCGCAATCAGGTCCAGATCCAGATGTAAAATCAGGGTTCACATCGGGGTCATTGTCAGATGTGGGTTCAATTTGAGTAGACTGTTCACATCTAGAGGGTTTCAGAGAGTGGTCGCTACCGGGTGTTGACGGCGCAACTAAGGGCATCGGTTGATTGGGAGGAAGAAGGATTCCGCGCTCATTACTGTTAACATACTTGCTCTTGGGTTCTTAGGAGCATACCTACTACGTATCCGGATCGACGGCTGGCTCGGTGAAATTGGGTTCCGTACTCTACAGCAAATTGGACATCAGTGCGCCTGGTAGAACATATCATTAGTGTATGCTTGATCAAACCCTTGCCCCTCCCCCCCAAACACCCCCGAAGAGTAATAAAAAAGACCTACGCAATTTCCTCCAACGCATCACAATAGTAGCCGATCATAGAATTATGAATATCCTTCTGATTAGGTTCCTTGACATAGAGGGCATTGCGCCAGCCTCCCATCAACACCCAGCGTTTTATCGCGTTATCCCCAGCAGTCTTTTCATCGATGGACCGGAAACCCAACGGGTTAGCTATACACAATCAGCATATACTGAGCATTGACAGAATTCAAAACATGAAATATGTATGTATGTACGCACCGGCACCAGAATGAAATATACGAATATGAGCGCTGAAATTTCTCCCGTTTTGGAAACCAGCCCCGCACATCCGATTGCCTTGAATCAAGATATCGCAACTATTTTAATTAGCGTAAATCTGATAGAAGATCCAGGAGCTTGTATGATACACCACTGTGTTATAGCTATTCATAGTGACCATAGGAGCTGGTGACCCTTCACTAGCAAGAGCAAGTATCTGTTCTTTCTTCGATACATAGCGGCCTCGGGGCCGTTTAAAATCCCAATCAGGATTATTATTTGGAATAGGTCCTATCAAGGTTCAATATGCTGCAATGCCCAGCACAAATTACCTATATTCTGTACTCACCGTGTGCATAGCCCCAAACTGGGTGTGGGTTCACCGCATCCAGTACATCCGGATTGACAAAGTCGCTTTTAGACAACCGTAAGCGAGCTGCCGCCATCCTGTCCAGATGGCTGGTTGATGGACGAGCTTGCAACAAAAATGTGAAAGGAGAAAGATGTGCAGGGTACAGTGATGGCAAGGAACAAGAAAGTATTAGGAATCATGGAGGGGTTTTATAGACTTCGTGCATATAGCGGTGGCAAACAAGGAGCAGAATGTCTGGAATAGGCCTTGTTTAGGAAAGTTCCCTATGTGTTCGACGGGGGGAACGAGTGTGATCAACCCCTATGTTCTTACGGAACTTTCTTGGACAGTTTTAGAGAAGAATTGTATCACTACCTTAAAGGATCGTTATGGGCTCGGGATGCCATTGCTTCCGATGCTAAATACACCTTTCCTATTGTGGTCGGATATGCGGCCAAATCGGGAAGCACTCATAAGATCCATTTCTATAATTGTGCATTTCGGTCTCGGCCCCGGCACACTGACGGAAAAACGAGAAAAGTCAGCATCTCGGTGATAGATGACAATAAATACGTAGAGATTGAGCACCCGAAGCTGTAGAACTATCTTTCGGCAAAGCCTCAACTCCATTTGGTAGCTATGCCGCCCCAGAAAATCGCCATCCTTGGTTCTACAGGTCGAACTGGCCGTGTCATCGTGAAAAATCTGCTGGAAAGTGAAGACGAGTCTTATCATCTCCACCTTCTCGTGCGTTCCAAAGAAAGGCTTGAAGGCCTGATACCTGGCATTCAACTCCATCCCCGGGTGACGATAGAGGAAGGACTTCCCAACGAGGTTGCAGCAGTCAAAAATTGCCTTTCCGAAGCATCATTCATTGTGTGCACCATAGGCACCAACAACAATGAGCCTGGGATCAAAACGATTCAGGATACCGCGTCGACGATTGTCGCTGCCTTGCTTGAGCTGAAGAAAGAGGGCGGAAATATGTGGAAGCGTCCACGTCTCACGCTTCTTTCCTCAGCTTCGCGGAATGATCAGTTCATATCGCTGCGTCCTTGGGTGCTGCATTGGGCGATCATGAACGCATTCAATTATGTCTATGCAGACCTCGCAGTTGCTGAGGGTATCCTTTTGTCGAACAAATCACTTTTGACATTGACGCTGGTCCAACCTCCCTTACTAGTAGAAGGGAAAAGGTCAGAGTTCACAATTTCCGAGACCTACGTGGGCCCAGCTGTTTCTTACGAGGATCTTGGAGCTGCAATGGCAGAGCTGTGTATAGTACCGGAAGCAGATGGGCCGACCTGTACGGGAGTCACTAGCGACGACTCGTTAGGAGAGGTTGGAGCTGCATTGCAAGGGCCAAAAAATCTCTTGACGGGTTTCTTGGGCAGAATGGTACCTGGGTATTGGAAAGTACACGGGCTTTGCTTTGGAGGTTGAAGAACAACCTTGCTCATCGCCTTGTTTGATATTTCTCTCTCTCACTTGACACGTACGAATTAGTTTAAAATAAAATCAGTATGCATGCATGCTTCAGCTGCTATATACGAATGAATATGTAAACCAAAATCCTGGGAATATCAACATTAAAAGCGAAGTCCAACAACTCGCTCAGATAACCACCAAGCTAGATGCAAACAACAAACCAGCCAACAAAAAAGGAAAATCAAGCTGCCATCGTCAAAACGTACGAGGTGATACTATCCATACGCTCGGTCGTCAACTTTAAACTAACAGTCAACAGCTCACGAGCAATGCGCGGCTCCTTATCCTGCAGCACCTTCCACTGTACCCCGGTCAAACACCAAGCCACACAATCGCGCTCAGCCTTGACGGTCGCCGTGCGGCGCGTATCACTGAAGAAAGGCAGTTCGCCGCATGGTCGACCAGCGACAATGAGCTCAAAGTAACGGCCTTGCGGAAGGTCGTAGCCAGCGCGCAACATGCCAGACTCGAGGAGGTAGAAGGCGCGCGGGGCATCGCCTTCGTGGTATAGGACTGTGCCGGCGGGGTAGGATTCGCGGGAGAAGTAGGCACAGGCAGGGAACCAAAAGTCTTCGTTTTCGGTTGAGAGGCCTTGGAAGGTTTGGAGGAGGAGGGGGAGTGGTTGGCGCATGGCGGACCAGGCGGGTGAGGCCATCATTGTTGTTTCGTGGGCTTGGATGGTGGAGGTTGCAACGCGCTGCAGGTACTGGCGGCGTGGTGAGCTGACGATGTTGTCGGCTAGGGTGGGGGATTTAGGTCCTGAGGGCACGGGGACTGAGACGGGAACTTGGAGGAGCTCGGAGTTTGCGGTTGGGTCGGTGGGGGTGGAGAGTGCTTCCTGGCGGCTGTAGAAGACTTTCAGGTAGTTGTTCTCGCAGAACTCAAGGGCTGAGTTGAGGTCTTCGAAGATGGGGACGCCGGACTCGGACTCGAAAAGTCCTACGTTTTGTAGGGACTTGCCTACATCACCCTCGACATTCAAGCCGGAGATGGCTATCTGTACGTTGCGCTTTTGAAGAACGCGGTTGATGCGGGTGAATGCTTCTGCGGCTGAGAAGTCGAGTCCGTAGACCCGAGAAAAGTCGAGAATAAGGAATCGAATGGGACGCCGGTCGAAAGCTTCCTCCTCGATCAGACCACGCATGGTGTTCTCGACATTCACGATGGTTCCAAAGAAGAGATATCCACCAAGCTTGATCATCAGGGTCTGCTGCCCAGCTTCGCGTAGGAATTGTTGCTGGATAGGAGGACGTCGGACAGTCGACCCGGAAATTTCGCCCGAGAATGTTGCTCGAATGGCGGATTTGCGAGACGTTTGGACGACAAAGTTCACGCAGGCCAAAAGGATTCCAACAAAGATTCCAACCACGAAGTCCCAAGCGCCCATCGTAACGACGATGATGACAACGGTTAAATATTCAAGCCGGGTGAGCTTTCCCCATGTGTCCACTAATGCCTCCTGCAAAAGCTCAATGCCCAGCAAGAAAATCAAGGCACCAACAACCATAATAGGAATATAGCCGATTATGACTGGGCCAATGACCATAATCCCGGCAGTAGCTGCGGCCAACATCAGACCGGCCAACCGAGATGATCCGCCGCTTGCAATAAAGAGAAGACTATTGGTATAGACAAGATAGTTCTGTTTTTGTTAGCTCATTAACCACAGCTCCACCGATGGGGGGCCACATACCTGGACGCTTCCTACAAATCCTGAAAGTGCATTCGTCACGCCATGTGCCATGAGCTCTCTGTCAACATTGAGATTGTCTTCGCCGGTAGATATGCCGAGAGCAGGTACATTGATGGGCACGTGGAGCACACCAAAGAAAGTCAAAGCAAACATAGCCGGGATTGTTTCACCAAAGGCAGTCCAATTGACTTCCGAGAGATCTGTAACGAATCAGCAAGGCAACGCCCGGAAATATTGCAGCCAATCAACTCACCATAAAGAGAATAGAAATGATACCACGGGTTGTTCGAAGCTGGGGCAGCAAACACCCATCCGTTGTGGCGCAAAGCACCCATAGAGATCCTGGCGCTTAAGATGACAATGTAGAACACTACAGCAACGGCAATGAAGTAACCACCGACAAGGAAGTTTGAGCGAACAAATCGCTTAGTAACAAGCAGGCCAATTGCAAGGAACAGGGGTATCATCCAAAGAGGGAAAGTATCAAGTTGGAAAAGTTTCTGGATCGTGGGGAGGTTGTACTCAAAAGACCCGGGAAGCCGGGCTGAAACCTCCATTCCAGTTTGTAGAAGAAAGTAGCCCACGCCACCGATACAACCAATGAGAATATGACGGGGAAAGAAGCCAATGAGCGAGCCCAGTCCGCAGACACCCATTAAGAAGAACACCAAACCTGTAAGGATCGAACTAACCGAGAAGGCTAAGATGGTCGTTGCAATCACTGATTTCGGGTTGTCCTTGCCAATTGAATTCATGATGGTGAAAGCCATCTGGTGGAAGAAGGGTACTACTTCAATCATCTCACTTCCTATCCCTCCTTTGAAGATCGAGCCTCCACAGGAGAATACCACTTGCGAAATAATGGTACTGACATAGAACATTGAGATACCGTCAGTTCCTAGGTGAGCGAACAGGGGTTCTCCCAGAGGGAATAAGATCATTCCATAAGACAAGGCATCAAGAATGTTGAGAAGTAGTCCCAGCAATACGGCTGGAACTAGACTGGCGGGGTATACTACAGCCTCTTTCCAGATGACGCGCCTATCCCATGACTTTGGGTTCGACAAGGTGCGAGTATAGTGGGCGACAGATGAAACTCCTTTCGTTATTAAGTTTGGAGACCGTTTGACCGCCGGCCTTTGATTCTCGGCGTCGCCTGCACTTCCATAATTTTGTGTAGATTTGGATCGTGACTTGGATAGTAACGAGGTGTGCTCATTGTCTCCTTCGGTTTCGTCATAGGTCGTCGACGATGGGGGGAAGGAGATATCATCAGTCCCGGGTTGCGTGACCTGGTCCTCCTCCGTATCCGTCAATGGACGGCGAATCATCTCTGTCAAGGCCGAAGAGCCTGAAGCTGAAGCAGGGTCGATAGAGGGATATCCTGGCTCCAACAACCCCTCCCCCGCGGCAAGATGAGAGCTTGTAGCTTCATCCTGGGAGCAACTTGCAGAACTCTGGCTGCCGTGGAATATATCAAGGCTGGGGGGTAAGCCGGGCCCGTCCCTCAAGAGGGATTTTTTATTCAGCGAAAGGCCATAGGTAGCGAGTTCCGCGGTCTGGTCACGAAGACCCTCCGAAGCATAATGAGCTGGGTCTGCGATAGGTCGAATTGTCAGTAAAAAAATCGCGCGGTATCTCTAGCTTTACATTAGCCACAATGACCCACCCATATTGCTATTGAAAGACCGGTGGTAGAATGAACGATTTGGTGTTCTCGTTGTCGACCCATTGTAACTGGATGATTCCGCTCCCATTGGACCGGGCGGGCTGCCTAGATTTGCATGTTCCACCAGCGATTCTGACGGAGCGTTACCATGAATGTCGCGGTCAAACATCAGATTGCGTGACAGCGCCGATGCGCGGGAGTCGCGACGGCCGCGAGGTTGCAAAACCCCCATGGTTTCTCGCGCAATTGCCGTCCAACCAGGTTATGGCGAAGATCGAAAAAGTTGGTAAATTCGGAAGATAAAACGGGGCCACTAGCGCATGAGGCTACCGTTTAGACAAACATATGACGCAACCACAAGCATTGCACAGAAGGGGGGAGTGAATTATATGTATAGATAGAAGAGAAATGGTATTATCAAACACAAATATGAATTAGCAACGGACCCCGATAGAAAAGAAAACCCCCGAGGTACCGGAGTTTTTGACTAAACGTCCCTTATCTCCTAACAGTCGAGCTAAACCACATCCGGACTGATACAGATGGAGATAGTGGGAGGTGGTCTGTGCGTGAGACTAGGCGGAAAAACAATCCTTGGAGCGATGTGGGAGATGTGGATAAAACACACATCTCCCCCTACAATGGCTTAGGCTGTCTCTTCATCTGCACTAATTCCAGACTAACTCGACACATGAAACTACATACGTAATTAAAATGAGTATGCAGCAAGCTGCAGCTCCGTAGTCGGCTGCAGGCAGATACAGTGCTATACACTGCATGATCGGCATTGGTACCATGCAGTAGCCTCAGCCTTGTTATATCCTTGCATAACACCATGAGCCAATAAGCCACATAGGTATTGGCTGATATTTACCTAACAATCTGCTTAGCTTCGGACATATTACCACTATAGCTTAATTCCTTCTCGCCTCTCCAAGGTACTTGTCTAGACTGCATCTACGGAGCAGACTCCACCCACCTTGGTTGATCTTTTACGATCGGCCAATCTAGCCCTAAAAAACATACATTCGAAAGAGAGGGAGAAAAAACCTTCCATCAAACCAGCAGCCATACATAAATCGGACTCATGTCACACCATTGCAATGCAGAAAATCATCATTTTGGCCATTAGGTCTAGACACGCTAACGGCGGGGGTATCTCAAAGTACATGGTCCCTTCATAAAAACCACTGTAGATAGCCAACGCCAATTCATGTTTCTTGTACTCCGTACTCGTATAGAACCCGAAAAATCCAGGTAGTCCCGACTCACATTCAAGTCAACCGCTCCAGGAAACCCTGAGCAATTAGCCGTTCCACATCACCCTGACGAACATAGAGCTGACTGTTCTTGGTCAAGTTGATCACACTGAACCCGAATTAGCCACCAGATTCCCCAAAAAAATACCAGCAAAAAAAGAGAAACATACCCATATTCCGTCTGAATCTCACCAGCATCCTTCAACACTCGTACATCAATAAACAGATCTTTCGGCGGCTCCAGCGTCCCCGTCAAATCCACATCCGTCCATTGGCCCTTATACGCAGCAAGCATATCACCGTACTGGCGGAAATACTCCTCCTCCTCAGGACTCAGCGAGCTATGCCCGCTAGCCCCGAGAGCCGTGTGCTGAGCCGCCCCACCATCCTCGGACGGCTGCTGCTGCTCGAGGATATCTACACCCGTCCAGCACAGCTCCTCGAGCTTCTCTGTGCGCACGCGGTGGTACGCGAGTAGACAGCGCTTGTTTCGGCGCATGCACAGGTGGTCAACGAGTAGGGCGCATGCGATGGCTGGGTCGGCCGAGGGGTTGAACGCGCCCTCGAAGGGCTCTAGGAGACGGGTAACATCGCGGTCGAGATCGCGGACTTCGCGGGTTACTGCGCGCACAATCTCCGTTTGGTAGGGGGGTAGATGGGCGAGGGATTGGGTGCGTTTGGCGTGTTGGACCTATCGCGGGTAAGGTGTTGGTCAGCGAGCTGCGGTTTCTCTTGTTTTGCTATTTTGCGGTCGGTTTTGGGGTTGGGATGGTATGCTCCCAAGAGAAGGGGGAATAGATAGCCCACATACCAATTTGTTGCCGAGTTCGCCGTACATGGTGGCTACGCGGTCGGGGTCCTGGTGAGGGACGCGACTTTGATCCATTTCGGCGAGCGCCAAGATTGGCTCTTAGTCAGGTGGAGTGATCGGCGCCAAGGTCAAGTATGGAGTCACTTTTTTGGTTAAAGGCTCGTTATCTCCGAAGTAGATAGATAAAAAGTACATTGGCAGTGACAATAGTACATTGGATACTGTGCAGAGTTGAAGTTCTACAAAAAATCGAAGAGGGGGAAAGGCAACGAAATCTGGAAGGAGCACAATGGCTTCAATTCTAGATGAATCGGGGGGAAGTGACCAATGGGATTATTTTCGAATCAAATAAATGAGCTCATGATCGATAACTATCAGTACTGCATAGAGGCCCTCATTTGGTTGTACCCGGCCTGTGTGATCGGCTCATACTTTGCAGCACCTTCTCCAACACATGGAATACATTCAATCACCGAGTCAGGATCCGGCGCCATGAAATAGGGAATAGAGAACCGTCTACGGGTCATACGATCAGTTCCTTCGAATCTATCAGGAAGTTGTGGCAAAGTGACTCGATGGCTGGTAGACCTCAGAAGATCTATACAAGTCAGCGGTTGAGGGCAGACTAAGAGCATACCAAGCGACGAACCATTACTCCATCTCTGCAAAAGATCCCCCACATTCATCACAATTGCATTTTTTATGGGCGTAGCCGAGACAAACGTCCCTGGCGACGAAGCATCCTCAACTTCCAACCCTCCACAGTCATCTTGAAACAGCAAGGTAATTGAACTCCAGTCGGTATGTGCGGGGCATCTAGCTGCACGCTCTGTCTCAATTGCTTCTGCTGGAATAGGTGGGTAGTGCAGTAGGCGCAGCTGGTTATTATGACCCGAGTGTTTCTCCAGCAGATGGTTCTCATCGAGCTCCAAGCCAACAGCAAGCGCCTGCAGGACCTCCCCTCCGACACGGAAACACTCCCAGTAGAAGCGATCCATGAAGTCACGAAATCCGGGGAGACTGTGTTCGGGCAGCCATTGATTAGGCTGGGTGGTATTTTTGTCGCTTCCTATGTCATAGCTTTCCTGTGGTGGGTCAATGAAGCTCATAATCATACATAGATGAACTCGGTGCCGACTAGGAAGTATGAGATCATGGACAAACACAGCGGGTTCTCACTTTGATGTCTGTAACCTCCCTCAGCTGGTCCGCCATTTTCTGGTCATCCCCGGTACTCATCGCCTGTGACACCTTCTCCAGTCCAGGCCAAGAGTACCCTCTGTGAACCGCCCATCCCTCTGGATGGGGCGCTTTGAGTTTCTCCTCTTGTGGTAGTTCGAAGAATAGCTTTGACCAGTTGAATGCCTGGTCTAGCATCGACTCTGGCAATGAATGGTTGACGATGTATGCAAATCCCACTTCTTTGCAGGCAGCGACGATTTCTTGCGCGATTCGCTGACGACTGGACTTCGTGTTCCAGCCGGCAAAGTCCACGACAGGGATGTTGGGGGACTTAGCGGAAGCCATGATACGTTGAGGTTCTATTGTAGGGGTGTAATGGTCAAAAAACAAATTAAGACAAGAATATGAGACACAAAAGGGCAAGTTTCCGACCTAACACCCCTCACATGTCAGACACTGGGGTACCCCAATGAGAGAAGAGCAACAATGCATCTGTGTATTTCCTTTTCTGGTTAGTTTTTGCCTTTTTGGGTTTAGCGCCGCGTTGCTATAGTTGTCTGCAATCATTACACTTGAATTTCAAGATTGCGCCCAAGCATCAACATCCCGATGAGCCAAGAATGCCCTACGGCAGCAGATCCTCCACATTGAATATGCTTCAGTATCAGAGGCAAACCCCACAAGCATCAATGGCCCCTTCGATTACGAACGCTGTGCGAGGGTATACAAGCCCGAAAGCTCCACAACTAGTTATCTAGTTACGTGGATGGATGAATAGCTCGCCACGGACAACATACACTAATATCGATGAGCTAGCCAGTCAAAACTTCGTTTTTACAGAAGAAGATACAGGCGTTATTCGCGAACAACCCCAGAAGGAGAGAATTCATTCCTGGATTCGATATACTCGTCTGAGCCAGGTTTATTTAACCGGGTGAATGATATTTCAGTGCAGTTGGTCGACGAAATCTTTCCAGATGAGTACAACGGACTAAAACGCCTAGCCCGAAGAGCTGGCAAGGTCCCGACCGCAGATTGGGCTTTGGTCTTGGCTTCCATGTTCTCCTAGTCGGGGTCGATGGGTGTTATAGATCGCTAATCGGCGGCTATCGAAGCTAGGGTTCCCTCTGCATCACTTTTGTCTATCTCTAGAGATGCGCCACTTTTCACATACGTAGAACTTGACGCAGCATCCATATAGGAAGAGTGCTTGATTCGTTCGGTTCTGACGAAAGTGAAGAGATAGCAGCCCCACAATCGGTCTTGGAGAGGATATTCAATGGCTTTTCTTTGGAACAAGAGATGGTGTATCATTCCACGAGAATGATTTTGCTCCCACCGGGCTGTATAGTGAGTCAGTACGTCGGTGTGGATGCAATAGTGAGGAGGTGCGCCTCCGTCTACTGCTACCGTTCTAGGATCACAATAGAGCGAGAATAAGTAATGAGAAATCACTCTTGTCAGGGTATGTCACACAGCTCTTTCAGAGGGCTCGGATATTGGAGAGGCTGATAGACCGGTGAAGAGAACTAGTAGAAAGTGGTGTTCGGATGGTTGGAAGAGACGGTGTGGAGGGAGCAATTGATAAATTCCATGCAGAACATGCCAGAATATATTATTAGATGACTGCTGACTGGTGACATTGATGGATGTTTTAGTGAAACGTTAAGATGCCCAATCAGCCCTGGAGGGTACCCGAGTAACAATTTAGCTGCAGTATTCAGTAGTTGAGTGCCAAATTGTGTCCCATACATTGTTTCACTTGTTGAATTTTAGGAGTTATCTAAATTACATTAATACATATTCCCAGGCTCTCAACTAGTAGAAATTAATATAGAAATTAATATAACCTTGGGATTCGGGTCTAGAGGATCGGGCTGCGGTTGCTGGGGCATCCCGGTGGAGATTTGTGACCTGACCTGGCACATCTGCAACTACATCATTTATTCTTTAAACTCTCATCTTTTCTAGAATCTCTATCTCTAAGAATTTCCCTTCAAGCAGCGAGTACTCAGGTATGTTCAAGTGCCGAGTCTTCAATTATACTCCTCGCAACCAATGAAAGCTAATCTTACTCCTTTGAGTAGTTTGTTGACACCCGAGCCCAACCCCGGATAACGCCTCCAACGACGAAACGAAGCATGAGAATAAACCATTGAACTCACCTAAATTAATAAGATCAACCGAAACCTCGAGCTCATTCCCCAAATCGACCAGTCCAACCCCACCCCCAGAACAAACCCGAGAATGCGGGCTTCCCGGTGGATCTGGATTGCCGCCACATTCCTCACCTCGACCGTCCACTCGACAGAGACAGCACCCTTCACCGCAGCAGAAGAGGCCACAGCCAACAAGCGAGCCTTTGAAGTCCTGCGCATTCTCAGACGAGACGTAAACAATTGCCCTAGCGGCTACAACCCCTGCACTGAACTGGGCAACTCCAACGCATGCTGCAAGTACGGAACGAACTGCTCACGCGATGATGCCAACAACATCGCCTGCTGTGCAAGCGGGGCAAGCTGCACCGGCAGCCTAACAGGCACGAAGACGACAGGTGCTAGTACCGTGTTCATGTTCCCCAGCGGCGCAAGCGCAACCACCACTGAGAGCGGGGCAGCGTCTACTACCGGGTCGACGCTGGACGGCGCATACCCATTTGTTGTCGTCCCAACCGCTTTTAGTAATGCTGATACTTGCTCGTCCTACTATTCCGTGTGTCAGTCAGAGTACACACAGTGCGCTGGTGCGCTGATGGGCCGCTACGGTGTCACTATTGGCGGTGCTGGGGGAGGCAAGACGGTTGAGGCTGTCACGGCTGCGTCGCAGGCGACTTCCATTTGCTCGAGTTTGAGTGCGGAGGCTTGCCATGGTATTAACTTAGCGTATTGCAGCAGCGTCGCAACACAAACTGGCAGTTCAGAGGTCAATGGGAATGATGCCTCTCCTGTGCGGATGTCGAGTCTCCATGATCTGGTCTTCGGGCTGGCGGTTGGTGTTGCGGGTATGTTTATATGATTCATGGATTTGAAACGACTTTTTGCATGCGTTCTTTTTGTTTGTATATTCTCTTTTTCCTGTGATTTTCTATCACCATGTGCACAATCAGAAACTCTTGGAATTTATGATATAACGTTAGGTTTAGATGATAACACTCTCGACATACATGCTTTGAAAAGGCACAATTTTTGAAGTAAACCTGAGTCATTTCCATCTATCGAGGAGCTATTTATGTCCGTATCCCATTCTGACAACGTATCCCTAACATAGAAAGCTCCGGGACTAGATTAACATATTTATCCGCATCATTACCTGTCAATGTCAACCTCTATTCACTCCAATATCACCAAAGAATAGGTCCAGCAGTCCTTTGTTGTAGTGATTCCCATCTCCTCCCGTTCCTAAGCGTCTTCATCCCTATCATTATCCTCCGTCCAAAGCATCAGGTATTAGGGCCAGATGATTCATTTCGCCCGGATGTGAGCATACTCTTTTGAGGGCATACCTGTTAGGGAACGACCCTTAAAGAGCGACTGCGCCGACGCTTGCTTTGCGAGAAAGAATACTATCAAAGAAGTCCCAGCGAACAATAAGTGCTCCTATTCTTGCTGCTCTGAAGATACGCAAGCCACGGCTCTATCCGTCGAGGACAACTGTAGATGGCTTTCCTCATTGGTCTATCCTGATTAATGTTCAAGTTTGAAGGCTCACCAATTTAAATTTACTTACAAATTGACCCGTCGCTCTGTACTATATCACAGATAGACTGGACAACGATGCCTGCCAGAATGTACTATCCCCCCATAGCCCCAAACCAGCATAACCCTAAAATGGCACCCATTATAATCGCCATAGCCGGGGGCACATTGAACCATGCACTCTCTGCATATGTTACCGCCGCAACAACCAACCACCATGGATTTTTACCCAAACTTTGTCCATCGCTTCTTTCAGGAGTCAGGTATCCAATCTCCCACAGCCGGTATACAGCTGTAAATACTAGCCCAACTGCAGTAGCATTCACTCCTCTTAGAAAGTCGATCACATACTTCTTCTTCCGCAATACACGCCAGAAGCTTTGGATTGCAACGGCCAGCGTGATTCCGGGAAAGAAGATTCCTAAACCGCCGAGGATCGCACCGAAGATGGTCGGGAATCGTGAGTGCTGCAGTGCTAGGGCCCCCAAGAAGACAGCGAAGTTGAAGTTAGGACCGGGAAAAGCTTGAATAATGGCAAGGCCGATCAGGAAGTCTCTACTCGAGACCCACCCGGGATCGACGACGTAGGAGCGTAAAAGGGGAATGACGACAGGACCTCCACCAAAAATGACAGTGCCAGCAAGGTACATATTGGCAAAGAGGTCAAGGGCGAGTGGGGGTGTGGTAAGCTGGCCTCTAGCAACAAGAATCCCGATGAAGGAAGCTAGCTATGTTAGCGCTGACTCTCGGGAAATTTGTTAGGTGAGGTGAGGTGCACACCAAAAAAGAGTCCCGTAACCAAAACTCCGACCCGAATCCTGATAATGTGCTGTTGCGAAAGAGCTTCAGCGGACTGCGTAGGCCTTGTAGCATCGACTATACTCTGTGGTAGTCCTTCAATTCTAGGATTTATCCTCCTCGGTCGCGCCATGTCACTTCTTTGCATCCTATTCTCTTCCAGGGTTATGTCGTCCATATCTGTGGGGTCCCCATTTGTCACGTCCGGTTCTTGTGGACGACTATGTCTGTTCTTCCAAGCGATCCTTGCTCTCGAAAATTGTTGATACAACCATCCATCCCAAATGCTTGTGAGAAACCCACCGATAATCATCAGCACGGGAAAATACCAGAGTGCGTTATAACAGAGACCAGCACATGCGCCAAAGATCACAAGAATCCGGGATAATTTATCGCGAATAGCTTTTTCGGCCAACTGCACGGCCGCGAGTGCAACGATACCTACTGTGGAGGCGTTGAGGCCAGAAAGTAGGGAGTAGACGGGTTTGGGAAGGGTTTCATTCATGTTTTGCACACCAAGTGAGAGGGCGTACATGCCAATTGCGCCAGGAAGACTGACACCGTCAGTTGAAAATCAACTGATGGGGGGCTTTGTAGCATAAAGGTATATATTACCTCCAAATAAAAAACACAAGCATGGCAGGAATAAATCCTGCATGTAATAGTGTTAGGCAGAAAATCATCTTTGTGCTACCGGGCCCCGGAAGACCCTGACAAATAGCAAAGAGTTCCTGATACTGTGAAATTTGTTAGGAGTCCCTATGATATTAAGACGCACCAGCTTGAGGATATGCAAGGATAATCGTACCGTCTGCTCATCCACCCATTTTTCTTTGCCGCCCTGTCCCTCCACGAACCTGCCATGTAGAATCTGGAAGTGTACTGGTGGTCCTCCGAAGGCTATAAAGCCCAGATCCCATGTACGCAAAAAGACGTCCATCAAACGCCTTGACAAAAGTTTTTCCGTTCCCTCATTTTCCCATGAAACCCTGTGGCTGCCCAATTTGTGATTCAGCAGGGCGAGGGAAGAGAGGCATTGCGAGACAGAGGAGAAGAGTGGCATACTGCTCCTTAACCAGCTGCATGGATCCTGCGGTTAAGTACGGAGTATAGATGGATGATAAGATCTTCTCAAACGCTGAAACCTTGTTCACCGTACGTACCTGGCAAATACCAAGCCAATATGTTTAGTAAGCTCTGATATCGCAGAAAAGTCCAAACCAATTAGGCTACGTGAATGAAAGCACATGCCTACCACAATCTCGGGACTAGGAAAGCCTATTTGGACGGTGAATGTCACTGAGCGGCTGTGATTGGACAAGGCAATGTCGGGCTCCCGTTGGCGCTTATAAACCAAAATAATGCAGGGCTAGCAATGGTGAAAGTTATAACTCAAGTGGAGCTCTCAATAATCTAGAACGCAGCTTATTCATTGAATAATCTAGAACGCAGCTTCTTCATCGCGTCAACATTGATTTTATTGCGAGATATTTATAAGCGAAGCGACTTCTGTGTACATACTAAATTAATGTGGGCACTGCTAGTGCGACAGGAGCATCGACAGACGTATAAAGAGCGCTAGCTTTTAAACCACTTCGCAGTTGTGATATCAGCGCATAACTTTTGTTGTCTTCTCAATTTCTGATGGCCGCACAAGTCCACATTGTCCGCCACGCGGAATCTGTCCATAACGTCTCTAAAGACTACACTCAACGTGATCCGAGCCTAACACCACTCGGCCTTCAACAAGCTGCTCAGCTCGTCCACGAATTCCCCTACTCCTCACAAGTTGCGGTAATCATCACCTCTCCGCTTCAACGCGCTATTCAAACCGCCCTCGCTGCATTTCCGCACGTGCTGGATAAACGCTACTTTGATCCTCACTCGGGACAAGGCATTGAAAATGGCTCATTGCTCATGATAGACCCAGAACTACAAGAACGGAGTGCCTTCCCGTGTGATACTGGTTCCTCTCGTGAAGTTCTAGAGGAGGCCTTCCACATAGATTTCAGTGATTTGGCAGAGAACTGGCATATAAAGGAGGGACTGTACTCCCCAGACGACAATGCCGTTAATGTGAGGGCAAAAAGCATGAGAACTCGTGTTGCTGAAGTAATGGATAATTTGAAAGACAAGGAAAAGAGAGATGTCGTGATTGTCACACACGGAGTTTTCATGAAATTCTTGGTTGAAGATCCGGAAATTGACCTGCCAAAGGCGGGATGGAAAAGTTACACCGTTGGAGAGAATGGTTCTGGCAAAATTCTTCTTCCGTTTTAGAGAGGAAGAGATAGATCTGAATATGTCCAATAGTATGTACCGGGAAAACTTCTCAGAAAAACTTTCAGAATAATGTTGAGATAGGCATACATACACCTACGGAGGTGTATTCCAAACATTCTGCGCAGCGCATCTATGGGAACCTGAGTATTCAACACCTCGGAAAATACATGGACCGCTATGAATAAACTCGTATCCTTGACTGTCCAGGATTTGGACCAGACCATAATGACGCAGCCAAATCTACCACAACCTAGTACGGCTGGCCGTTTGCTCAATAATATATATTAGTTCCTTATAAGATATTTATATTAAGATTTGATATTATTTAGCCCGTTTAAATAATTCCTCCTAGATATATTTATTTTTTATAATACTAAGCTATAAACTAAATAATAAATAAAATAGCTGAGAAATGTATATTTTATACAACTCTTGGGAATCCATCTAAAAAGACATCACAAGGCCGCAAACGCGGCCGACTGTTCTTGTGTATATTACTTATATAGTCCTAGGAAATCAGTATAATTGCACTGTTTAGTCGAGAATAGGGGCCCAAAGCCCATCGTGGGCCTATAGACTGGGTTGGGCACTGGGCTTTGTAGGCTCTGCGGAAGTCTACTATAAACCTACCTAGGTTCGAGGTCGGGAATAGAGTTGGGGAATAGATTCACCGATAGAGTTGATGGTAAAATGAGGTATGCGGTCGGGAATAGAGTTACGCGAGAGCTAATTCCAACCAGCCTATCATCCCTCAACTACGATCATCATCCGCAAACCGCTCCCCCCAGGCATTCCGGAAATGAGAAGTCGCTCCAACCTCAGAAATCTCTTTAATCTCCTCCTCCGTCAACTTCACATCCAACACCTCCTTATACTCGTCCAACCTCTCCACCTTCTGAGTCGTAGTCACAGCTACAATATCATTCTGAATTAACCAAGCAAGAAGCACCACATTCTCCGTCGTCTGATGCGCTTCCGCAATCCGACTTAGCGGGCCCTTCAACGGTCCCTCTGGAACTCGGAAAGCCGGAGTAAGGCCCTTGAACGAGCCTACCTGGATGCTGTTCTCGTGCATCCAGGGGACATACCCGTTTGCACGCTGCAAGTACGGGTGGTACTCGATTTGGTTGATAACAGGTGGGTCGATGGCGGTTTGCAGGGTTGCTTCGAGCTCGTGGCGAAGATAGTTGCTCACGCCGATGGATTTGGCTTTACCTGCGGCTTTGAGTCCTTCCATGGCTTTCCAGGCATTTTGGAGGTCGGTGGGCGATTTAGCGAAGAACGGCACGTGGATCAGGTACCTATCGGCATTAATCATCATGTTATCATTTACCAGCGAGCGACTCACAGGTCAAAGTAGTCAGTCTGACATTTCTTCAAGCTCTGAGTTACGGCGGCATCGATGTCATCAATGCCCTGCGCGACCTTGTTGGTGATGAAGAGCTTTTCGCGAGGGATGCCGGCTTCCTTGATTGCGATACCGACCTCTTCCTCGGTGCCGTACATCTCCGCTAAGTCCAGATGAATATAGCCCTTCTGGATGGCGGTTTTGGTCAATTGGACGAGGTCGTTATTGAAGCTGGTGTCGCCTTCTTCCTTGAACCAAGCGGTTCCGGTGCCGAAGGCAAGCTAACTGCGTTAAGTTTCATGATAATCAAAGGCAGGGAGAAACATACAAGTGGAATCCTATTTCCATCGCGAAGCTGTAGAGTTGGTATCTCCATTTCTTTGGTGGTGATGTGTCGAAGCTGGAGTTGTAGTCGTTGAGTGGTTGTTGATGGGATGACAGGAAGGAGGCTGAGGTGCCTCAGATGACGAGCGGGGTTGCGGGAAGCTATATTACCGATTGCGGTGCAATGCTGTCTCATTTCATTGTTGATCGAGATGATGGATATCAATATATATGTATCAGAGCCTTGGCCATCCTCGTCTTGAAGGTTTGACCCCGCCTCTGGTCACTGGTCACTGGTCACTGGTGTGACAGCGCAGCCTCGTCGAGCAGCCTTGTCTCGTCCTGCCTCGTATTCGGTCTCACTGTAGAGTCTAGACTGTACAAAACAACAGGGTAAAATAGGTGAAAAAAGCATCACCCGACATTCTCAGCTGCAGCCTAATCCCTCAACAATCGATCAATAATCAATCATTATAAATCTTCCAAACTGCAGTCCTATCCACACGCAATATACTAGCTGCAGCAACAACACAGTCAAGATGGATACATGTGGGTTCAATCCATTACTCTTCTACTCTCAATCACTAACACCCCCTTAGTGCGAAAACGCCTAACCCCGATCTTCGCATTCCCATTCAGCCGCACTGTAGCACCCCCAAGCCCTCCGAGCCCAGCCCATGCCAACTTCCTAGAACTCTGCGCTGGCGGTCACACAGTCGACACACCGGAAGACTGTACTGCGTACTTAGTACATGTAAACAGACTCTCAGGGGGAAAATGGAACGATGCATGGAATGAACTCCTGCATCCAGATTACACCCTACCAAACTCTACCGATGACTTCGATATCATAATTCAGCTATGCAGCGAAGTCGCCCAAATTATGCTCGACCATGGTGTCCTCTCCATGGCCCGCATAATCCAGAAACTTGAAGCGAAGAAAGTCCTCTGTCCAGCGGTGAATATACAGTGTCACTCCAACGCACATGGCCTCGCCTTCAGCCTCATTGGCTGGCTATTACTCCTCTATGTCCCTGCGAAAAAGGCTCGACCGAATGAAATGCAGGCTGCGGAACAGCGAATCAGGTCTGGGCTCCGGTATAAGGTGTCACCGGAACTAGTAAATCGCCCCCTAGACGAACTGCTTCGGTCCTTCGGTAATATTCTCCCTCGGCGAGAAGAGCAGCGCGACAGCGCGGTCGCGTCAACGGATTTAGAAGAAGCTAGGGTAAAGCTCGAGGTCACGCACTTGAATGCGGCTGCCTTGAAGACGATGGCGAATATCCAGATCCGGTGGGTTGATACCCTCGGCGAGCACTTGGAGTTTAATCCAAGTGATGAGAAGGGTCCGAGTGTTGGAGTTTTCAAGTGTCCATCATTTTGTCGGCTTTATCAGAGTGATAGTTCAATTTTGGCAATGCATGTCCTTCTTGCCTTCCAGATATGAGTTGGGTTGAAAAGCTAACTGGCCGATAGAGTCTTGAACAAATTCTACGAAGACGACGAAAAGCCCACCGACAACTTCAGCGTCGCGAAAATGATCAACGAAGTTATGCTCTCCTACACCCTCCTCTTCAAAGCGGACCGTAAATCCCGCAAGCTATACCAAACGACCGAGCGAACAAAGGCTTCTCTCATAAAACCAAACAATGACAGTAAACCCTACATCGACCCCGTCCTCGACGAGCTCTGCGGCAACCACATCTCCTCTTCCTTCTTCAAATTCGGCGAACCAGTGCGTGAATACTACGACTCCATCACGGACTTTCCTATATTCAAGGACCGACTCAGGCGAATCCAGGACTATATGCAGGGAATTCAGCCGAATCGATTTGTGAGTCTTTGGCGGGATCAGAGGGACTTGAGGCTCTGGTATACCATCTGGATGGTGATTATCTTTGGCGTTATTAGTATTGTTCTTGGGCTGATCGCGATGTTTCTCACGGCGATTCAAGTCGATTATGCGAAGAAGGCTTATGAGTTACAGGTTAAGCAGGGAGGATGAAGACAACAGAAGACTCTTGACATTTTCTGGGACCCTGAGTGGTCACTAGATAGACTTAAAACCAATCTCTATTCCAGCGATTGTCATACTATGTATAATAAATCACCGATCAACCACATCCGTAAAAGCATCCCATCCCTGCTCCTCATCCGGCGCAACAGGGTGCAACCCCGTCTTCTCAAGCTCAAGCTTTGCCCTCAATGCAGAAGCCTTGTACGTCGACGCATCCGACGTCCTCCCCTGCCTCTCCCAGATCTTGGAAATCTGCCACTTAACTCTCGCCGACTCGCCCTGGTCTCCGCGGCGGGGTTCATTGAACTGTGTGATTCGAAGAGCGTCACGAAGGTACTCGAGTGCTTGCTCGTCGTTCCTTTTTTGCTGCTCCCAATCGGCCTCGGTGTCCGAGCGACGCAGGCAGACGAGAGCTTGATGGTAGAGGGCTGAGGCAACGCTCTGGTGAGTGGGTTTTCCGGGGTATTGTAGGTCATAAGCGCGTTGAATATAGTATCTAGCTCTTTCGAGGTCGTTTTCTGTATAGGCAATTTTGCCAAGAATGTATGCCGTCCTATTAACTCCTCGTCAGCTCCGATAGTAGTGTCATCGGAAAAAGAAGGAAACTTACTCCCCATGAAAATGACTATCCTCACCATAAACCTCCGTCTGAAACCTCTCCGCCACTTCCATATCCCTCTTCGCAACATCCAACCTCCCCAGCGCCGCACTTGGCCGACTATGATTCCTCAAATACCGATCAATATTATACGTGCACTGCAGTTCCTTCGGCGCCTTATACACTAAATCCAGCGCTTTCTGTACAGCCTCTATCGCCTCTTCACACTTGAAGAGTCCAAATAAGGCAAGACCCACGGCGCTGTAAGCGTCTGCAAGCTCGGGGCCTGTTGTGCTAGGCTCCTTTTCGCGGATTTCGAGCGACTGGAGGAAGAATTTGTACGCGGGGAGGTACCGGCCGCGTCGGTGGTCGACGGTTGCGACGCTCTCGCAGAGGTATGCGTAAACTAGGGAATTTTTGTCCTCGCAGTTATCGGCTGCGCGGCGACCGATAGTTTCACCGAGTTGAAGGGAGGAGGTTTCACTGCAGAACCTGGGTTACCTTCATTAGCAGGGCACCTAAGGGTAAGACACTGGATAAGAATGGTAATATACCAAGCAGCATCAGCAAGCATAGTGTGATATTCTACATCTTGGACATTCAACCCCGTCGGTCTGAGATCCTCGTACTTTTCCTGCGCGGTCTCGATATGGTGGATGAGCATCTCGCACGTTTCCCAGACTTCGTACATCTGGCGGCGTAAAGTTCGCTTTGGGAATGCGGCGCAGAGGATTCGGTACGCAACGCGGAATGTATCGTGACGCTCTTTCTCGAAAAGGTGGTAGTAGTATGCTTCTTGGGTGAGTCGGTGAAGGGAGATCATCCCGGTATCGCTGTTGATTTTGATCAAGGACTGGTGGAGCAGGAGGGCTGCTGCATCTTCATACCTAGCAGATAGTAAGTACTACCGGGTTGGAGTAACTCGGGACGAGATAGAAAAACACACTCATCAATGTCTGACAGAAAATCCCATGTTCCAGGAATCTGCTCGGGGGTATTGATAATATCACAAGGTATATCATCTGGTGCAAAGAAGCAAAACAGGGCTAGTAGTTGCCCGCTCTCCTTGGTGAGACTGTCAAATGCTGTTTGCCAGACAGTCACCAAATTCTCATTATAGTACGGGTTCCGACTCGCATACCGCGGTGGAACGCGCAGAGACTGTTTATTCTTCTTGAAATAAGGTAGAAACTGCCTCATTGTCTTTTTCTTCACGAAGATCTGTTTCGCTGTGATATCAATTGCTAATGCCAACCCACCTAGCATAGAGGAGAGCTCTTGTGCCGCCTCAATCTCAGCGGGGAGCTTGGTATTCTGTTTTCCTGAAAGCTTCATGAGCAGCCCGCCGCCTTCTTCCTTTGTGAAGGGGGTAATTTCGACGGCTGTTGCGGCGGGACAGGCGGCGGCGAGCTCGCTGCGACAGGTTACGACAATTTGCCCGTTCCCGGCGGCGGGCCAGTTGGAGGTCAGGAGGTTGTTGTCGTCGACGTTGTCGAAGATGATTGTCCATGATATTTCTTTGTCCGTTGTTAGCGCATGTCGGGCAGTATATGGAGGGAGTAGCGCATTTACCTGTTGTCTGTAACCAATTCCACATGAGGAACCGCACCCGTTCAGTAGGCATCCCATCCTCATACCAAGCTGGTCTTATTTCATTTGCAGCATGTACCAGGGCCCTTGATAAATCAATCTCAGTCTGCGTCGGCAGCCACAGAACCAATTGACACTTATTCAGAACCTGCAAATTCGCATACTCTAACGCGATCTGGGACTTCCCGATTCCACCAGTTCCCCACAACGCAACAGACCGAATGAGCTGCCCTTGCCCATCATTGTCAATTCCTTGCAATGCATCGTTAATACTCTGAATTACGTCCGCCCTCCCAAAGAAATTGGGATTGCGCGCAAAAGGCAGCTGATAATATGGTAATTTCGCCGTCTCCCTAGGCTGCGTAATGCTATATTTACTCAGCGACTCCAAGATTTCAGTCTGCTGTAGACTCATCTCAGTGATCCTGTGTGCCTCGACAAGCTGCCGGAGATGCACGATGCGGTGTGTAAAGTCTTGGATCGCCTTGGTGAATTGCCTGTTGACGTTGGTCCAGGAGGTACCCGTGATACCGCCATGCTTGCGGAGGTGCTTGATTGCCAATGCGCCCGCGACGAGAAGGTCAACGAGGAGAGTGAAGAATCGTTCCATGACCTCGCCTTCAAGGTGGACGGATTTGTCACTGTAGACTTTGAAGAGCTCGATCTGTTCACTGAATTCGCTCAGGTACCCGGCGATTTCCTCCATTGCTTTTTCGGATTTACTTCCCAGCTAAACCCAAATATCAGACTATATCGGACCAGAGTCTCAGCAATTGACTGTCATAGACTCACAAATATAAGAAGATACGTCACCCCCCACATACAAGTAAAACTGATATTTGCACCCGCCGCTACGGCAAGAAACGTCGCAAACTGATGCAGTTGGACTAAATGAGGGTGCACATTCCGCAGGAGTCTCGTCACAGTCGCCTGCGCCGTGTTTTGCTGCTGGAGCTTCTGCACCTCATTGAGAAGCTCCTCCGGAGTTTGGAAATTCTGGATCAGCTCGAAATCATCCTCGCCGAGAATTGTCTTTGTGTAGCTCAGGGCATCCTGCCAGGTGCTCTCGTATAAATGGTTTCTTTTCGGGCGTGTTGTTAGCGACCGTTGGAATAACCACCACCATATTTTCATTGCTGATGGAGAACCTTTACAACTTTGGGGTTGGATTAGCTTGCTCTTACCCATCTTGCATTGTGGTCGTGGCCTGATACTTCAAGCTGTGGGTCGGAGTTAGGGCTGTGGACGAGGCAGATTTGGAGACCCAAGGTTGACTTTGGGGTGAGTGGAGTGATAGTGGAGTGATGGTGGATGGGAGTGGGGGGTCAGCGGATATCCCATAATTTAGATTCAGCCTCATCGACATTACACAGAACGGGATTGGCTACATACCGTGGCCGGTAATTTCGTGTCATGGGTTTATGCATGAGTTATCCCTGTTTCTGTTTACGGTACTTTTGGTAATATTTCAATCTCGGATTCTCATTGAGTTATACGCAGTAAATTTTACCGGCTTACATCTTTGTATACTTCGAAGTGCTTCTTATTGGTGGCAGAGAAATGGCGCTCAAATGCATTAGCGGCCTAAGGGATAAGTCCGGATTGGGCTCGAGCTCAGCCTTTGGCCTGGGGCTCTATGCATTCATTGCCACGTATGCTTGCCTTCATGCAACCAGATCATTGTCACATGGGGCAGTGGCGTTGCTGCAGGATGCTATCACACAGGTAGTCTTATAGTACACTCTATTATGTATCACAAGGCTGGCGGCGTGAGGACTACAGAGCCTCATCGTGCTGCTCTGAGGGCTACCCCGCGTTCAATGTCTTATACCCAGATATTAGAGCCGAGATATTCTATCTCAATCAACATCCGCCTTGCAAATCCTCATTGTGCAATACAAGAGAATATCGATTCAACACCCACCGCGAGACAGGATAATGGCAGCCCCTGTCCTCCTCCCCACAACAGCCCGCCTCTCGCACCTCCGCGACGACCCTATATACAAAACCGAACGACCTTACGAGATCTGGGCCGATGACATCGCTGACAACGTCCCGCGAACCAATGTCCGGCTCGATTACGTCCCAGATTGCCCGTTGACTGATGTACGCACTGTCGAGAACAAGCCAGAGCTAGACACCTCAGGGTTCGAATGGATGAAGCAAGACTTTCCCTTCCAAACTGGGTTGCGCACTGTGGATGATGTGGAAATGCAGATTGAGGAGCAGAGGGCGGTCCTGGATAACTACTTGTCGACAATGAGCGAGTTTCTCAGGCAGAGGTTAGGTTGTGAGAAGGTTGTTTGCTGGGATTGGAGGGTATGTTGCCCACTCTCTTATCGAGGGGCTAGGTTACATATTAATTTCTAACAATATACAAATCAATAGGTCCGCCGCTCGAAGAGGACGCTCCCTCGTGCCGCACCAAACATTTACAGTTTGAAGGATGTGGATGCCACAGATCTGCGGGCTACGAAGATCAATGCCTCGCATATTATTCACGCCGGTCTGCACACCCCGTTCCCGATATTTCTTACACTCCAGTCATTACATCCCACTAACTTAGTGACAGACGGGTCGCCCGACTGGGTCCAAAGCAGCGTCCTTCAAAAGGTCGTTGAGGCAGACGAAGCCGCTTTAGCGAAGTCGAAGAATTACCGCACTAGAGTTCTCACGTATGCCACTCCCAGGAGAGTCCTACAGCCAGGACACGATAAACTACGAGATATATACTGATAGGCATGTAGTGTCTGGCGCCCCCTCGTCGACGTCGTACAAACAGACCCCCTCGTCTGTTGTGACACCCGCACTCTGAGCGAGCAGGATTACGACGTCATTCAGAAAATAATGAACGATAGCGTTGAAGAAAGCATGTACTTGAAGTGGTCTCCCAACCATCAGTGGTACTGGATGAGTGACCAGACAAGGGACGACGTTCTTATCATGACGGTTTGGGACTCGAAGAGGCCGTTTGAGAGGAGTGGTGAGTTGGTATCTTCGTTTTACTTCCTATTCCTCTCCTTTGTTTATTGAGCGGGATACTAATCGGCGTTTAAAACGTAGCTGCTGTCCCTCATTGTTCTATGGTTCTTCCGGAGCATGCGCCTGATGCAAAGCCACGCGAGAGTATCGAGTTGAGATTCATTGTTTGGAATGAGGAATGATAGAGCTGCTATGCTCTTTGTTGGCAGTGTTTGATCCCCGTAGTTGTAGTACTCCGCTTCTGCAATTGATCTAGAAATGACAATTTGACACATTTTTTTGTCTATGACTTTAAAACCTGTATTCCTCTCCAACAACATTGCGCTCTAGATATCCATGTCGAGGCTAATCTAGAACTTGCCAATGAATTGTTTTGATTTCATATATACCGACCTTGAGACTTCTAGTCCACCAACTTTTACGAGTAATGGAGACTTTACGGATGTGATGTTGAACAGTCTCTACCTGCCCAGAGGTAAATTCAGTATGGGTGCAATGCACTATAATAGTCTAGACAACACATCAAAACTCCCGCTAGCTGTATGCTCTCAGACCGTATCATCTCTGACGTACATTGTATCTAGCGCAAGAAACTAATGAAGCTACGATTTCACAACCATCATAGTCCAGATCTACTACTAAGCAATATGTACCACGGATGCAACAACTATCAATATCAAAATTCCAGACTGTAGAATGTACCTAACTAGTAAACCGAATTGTCTCTACAGCTAGGCAAACTCGCAAACTTCCAGGCCGACCTTCTGTGAAACCAGTGACTGACTCAATCCCTCCACAGTCGGCTTGTGCTATCTAGTGCCTTGGTCAGCAGTCTATCCTTACAAGTGCTAGCAGAATGATTACATACACTGTCCAGCACTCAGGAGTGAGCATTGACATTGTTCCCGTACAGGCGCATGTCACGGACTTTTCTAACGGAGACATCGTCCTTGACGGTTTTGAACTCGCGCCAGGGCTCCTTGCGGTCGTCGGGGGTGGGAGAGGCCTTGTCGGTGGGGGAGGCCTTATTGGTGGGGGAGTTAGGGGAGTCCTGCTCCTTTGTGTACTGGATGGAATCCGTGACAGAGTCCATGATGAACAAGGTTGAGGGGATCTGTAATGGTCTTAGAGTTGGGGTCGCTTGGCTTGAGTGTGTGTTTTAGCTGGAAAGACAGACTCGGAGGGGCATTATATGTTGAAGTTCAAGACTACGGAAGTGCAGAACCGCCTCGCAGAGCCTCATTGATACGAAATTGCCATCTTCAAAGGTACCAGTTATGCACGGTGTGCAGCACTGCATATTTAACAACCCCGCACTAAAAAGAGGACAATTGAGTTCACCAGGATTGCAATCCATGTAAATTCCAGCATTTGTCAGCGAGGCAGAAAAGGCGAGACGAGTATCACCAATGTAGCCTCATCTTAGTAGGCCTAGAACTGCTATTTAACAACAACCTTGCGGTCATAGCTCTACACCACCAATAGCTTACCCTAACCCCATAAATGCGGGTCTAACCTTGCATCACGAGAGAAGCAAAGACGCCAGACGCGGAAAGATCAACATCCAACGCCTCAGGCAATGTCATCACAAGACACATTCAACGTCGCTGTTACCGGGAACAGAGTGAGTTCGCATCAGCTGGAAACTCAGATATCAAACATACACGTCCAATACGCTAACCACCCTGGAGCCATTCCTGGAATACCCCGTGAACACCTCGCAATTGGTCCGCGACGCCCTCCCAGATGCTATCGACCGACCAAACAAACCAATCATCCGTATTCTCAAATACGACCGCGACACCCTCGACACATACGCCGACGTAAGACGGGTCTCTCGCGAAATCTGGGGCGGCAGCTCTTCCCTCTTTCGCAAGCCTGTGCATACGGATGGCAGCAGCAGCCAAGGCAACGACCACGTCGACATCGATCTTATCCTGCACTTGGGAATGGTCGCTTTCGACTACCCACAGACTTTCACCTTTGAGACTATCGCTCACAGGGATGGATACGAGCTCCCCGGTGATGACGGCAAGCCCGTAGACTCAGAGGAGCTAAAGCAATTGGGTCTCCCGGAAACCCTTGCCACTGCCTTTGATGTCGAGGCTGCTTGGCGGAAGGTCAAGGCGCAGTTCCCTGTATGTATCTGGCTTCAACCCCACTCCGCGCGCATATTGTCTTCTGCTTCAACAAAAGACTATAGCTTATCTTGACTGGCGCACACACTGGCACACACGCTAATACTGGGGGAATGTGGTGGAACAGGACACACCAACTTCCGTTTCAAAAGATGCAGGGCACTATTTCTGTGAGTTCCGGCTGTATTCGTCTCTAGCCGAGCCGCTTCTCGGCGAGGCGCTGAGCAAGAAGCGAGGACGGACTGTGTTTCAGCATCTACCTGAGAGGCATTTGGCCGAGGATATTGCGTTGGCTACTAGAATTACCATGGCTTATATTACGGCTCTTGCCGATGATCCGATTGCCAACGGTGATGGCGATTTTAATCACTAGCTGGCTGGATTACGGCCATAGACACATGATGGACTTTTTTGAACAAGAGAAGAACTAATCTAACTTAATACCAAAACCTTACTATACGGAGCAAGTGGTAAAATGAGTGTATATTGCAAATAGCAGCAAGATGCTTAAGTATAACCCCTGATCGATGGTATTAGAAACCTAATGAGCATAAGGTAAGTATACCTAATGACAGAAATCTGCGGTATGAAAATGTATCCATGAATGGTATGCATGAAAGATATATATGATAAAGCAATACGATTTGCATAGATCCTGGCTGCTCTGTTTAAGCATTCTACCATTATATACTTCTCTCTATTGATCCGTGCGCCTAAAATAGCTAATCTACACCCCTGCCCGGGTGGACGCTTACGGGTGGCTGGTATATATAACTATAGAAATCTACCTATGGAGTACCCTACGGAGTATTATATTCTTCTTTCCTTCTGACCTAAGTATTATCTATTGTCTATTACCTACTATACCAATTTGTCCCTTTATATAATAAGGTAGTTCTCTTCCCCGCTTTAGAATTGCGCATTCCTTCACGATATCAGTGTCTCACGGTCGCGGGTCTTTGTTTACCTCGGTCTAGCAGTCACTTTACTGCTTCTATCATATCAACTAATTCTCGACCGAGCTCCGATCATGGACATAAGCTGGACAACCATCCAGAGTATCATCGTGGCCGGTGATGACGACCGCTTTGTTCCGGATTCTGTACAACCAGCCGAGAAGGATTTGGTCCTCGCCGCCATGCAGGCTTCGATCGGATCTTCAGGGCATTCAAAGGATTGGGCAATTCATCGTTGGGCTGCCATTGGTGGCACAAAATATCCCCGAACATAAGATCCATGCCATCCACGACATTCACGCTTTGCTACAATTATGGGACCCATGGCTGCCCAACATATTCACAATCCAATTGTGTTCCTCTTTCCGAGTCATAGACCTGAGTCAGGACAATTCGAAAATGGCGGTGTTGGACATAAAGCTAATTGCTGCCATGGCGGGTGGAGAAACCTGCATTCAACCTGTCGATCGCTTCTGACAGGACGCAGGTAAGGGGACAACTGGGTTTGTTATTCGAGGCAAAAAATAGTGTTGGACTAATCAAAACCAAGTAATATATTTAATGTGAAACCCAGCCACCATGAAATAAAAAGAAAGTCTTGGATGGGTTAGGCGATTGGTAGGAAATCGGGTGGTTGGGTATACGGAGAGAGAGGCTGGGAGACGCTGTGTAAACAAACTGGAACACTCTCCTCTCTTGACTTCTCTCATTCTTCCTTATTCTTTCTCTGCATTCCGATAATCTCTTGACATCTCAAGAATTTTTAGGTCTTTGTTTTCTTGTGATCTACCAACGTCTCTCAAGTATATGGGTGAGACAAGACTACCGAGAAACACCATTCCAGTTCAAATCCCAGCTCTCCGACTCGAGAAATTCTACCACTGAATTTTGGCAAGCATTGCCTCGCCATTTCTTTGCGATGCGGTCTTTATCCGTCCTGCCGGTGCTCTCGACACTTGCCCTACTTCTCAATCACTCGCTCCACACAGCCGCAACCCCGCTTGCGCTTGAGGCAAACGTCTTCGAAGGAAACAAGCTTGAAAAGCGCTGTGCAAATCCATGTGGCTACAACGACTGGCTTTGCTGTGAGGCCAGTCAAACGTGCACTACCAACAGTGCCCAAGAGGCCGTCTGTGCAAATGGCGGCAGTGGAAGTGGAGGCTATCAATATTACACGACGACCTACACGCTCACCAATACCGACCTAACAACTATTACCTCTGTGTGGAGCAGCCAGATCGCCACAGCTACAAGCACGGGTACGTGCAGAGTCGACCTCGGTGAGACAACGTGCGGCTCGACTTGTTGTGAGGCTGCGCAAGAATGTTCAGAAGGCCAATGTGTCGCTGAGAGCTCTTCGATTGTTGTGACTGCTACAGGAACAGGAGGAGGATCAGAAGCCACCCCGCCCGTGCGAGGGACGACCAGTGGGGCAACCACCGTAACAGCAACCTCAGCCCCAACCACCACAGAGGGATTCACAGCACCGGTTGGAACGGACGGGGCAGATTTGATCGGGGCCAAAGCCACAAGCAGCGGTGGACTGAGTGGTGGCGCCATCGCAGGAATTGTCATCGGCAGTATCGTCGGTGGGTTCCTGTTGCTAATGCTCTGCGCCTGCATCTGCTTTAAGGGCGTTATGGAAGGCCTGCTTGCAGCACTGGGCATTGGCAAGAAGCGCCGTAGACAGGATACAACCTACATTGAAGAACGTCATTCTCACCATTCACATGGCAGTCGGCCTCCTCCTCCTCCCCCTCCTCCTGCCGGCCGACGAACGTGGTTCGGAGCCAAACCAGCCGTGGGAGGCAGTGAGGTTAGCGAAAAGAAGGATTCCAAATGGGGCTTGGGCACAATTGCCATTATCCTCGGCGCTCTTGCTCTATGCTTGGGATTGAAGAGAAAGAGAGATAGAGAGCACGACGATAGCAAGACCGAGTCCTCCTACCCAAGTTCATACTACTACTATTCCGACTATTATTCGGGTACAGGGAGTACGTCTACCCCCATGTATCCCCCCACACGAAAGACCAGCACTGACTTTTCTTTCTTTCACAGGTACTCGAAGTTCCGACAGACGAACTAGAGATACACGACGATCACGACGATCGCGCACTCGCTCCGACCGTCCATGATAAGCTCTGACGCGAGGGAGTCTCTTTTTTTCGCCTCGATTTTTTAGTTCGAAGACCTCGGTTTGATTATGCATTTACAGCGCTTGATTTATAACGTGACTAATGTACCACTATGATTTGCATGATGATGTTTTTTTTTTTTGGTTTTTGTGATTTAGGACTGACGATATTGCCTTTGTTTTTCGATGTCGATATGAGATATTTATGGCACCCTACGATGTACATACGAGATTATGAGTACAAAATCGACCCGATAAATGATGATATGATTATTGAACTCGTTTATTACTGTCTAATAAGTATTGAAATGATATAATTGCTGGCCCCCGGGCACCGGCATGGATTAACTGGCGCATGGGAAATTGCAATGGCTGCAGAAAGCAAATAACTTGCAGAAAGCAAATAACTTGCAGAAAACAATGTGCTCTGTTTGGATTCCCTGCAGGTTTGATAATACAAAGTACGCAAATTCAATAGATCCGAGTCAAATGAGATAAAAGACCAGAAAAGACAAAAGAAAATAATTCGAAAAGATGTACTCTGTACGGAGTACTCCGTAGGAGAGTAAGACATGCCCAAGGCCAAAAAAGACCACACAAAAGTTAGGGGAGGCACTTTACCTCCCCGCCTTCACTTCCGCCTTTTCCCTCCTCCACACTCCTCCATTCGACCTGTTCAACCTATTCTACCCATTCCACCACTATCCTTGCGACTTGTCTTCAGTCATCAATGATTTCAGTCTCGGGATTAAACTCCTGACGTTATTAACCCTATTTCAACTTTATCCCAGCCCCCCCATTTTGCCGTCGCTTCGCCAGAGTTCCGATCCTTCGGAGTATTACGAGTCTCCGAAACGACTCATCACCCACCATGCTTCAAGCGCAGACCCAACACGTTTTCTCCCACCAACATCAATACCCCCAGGCTGATCCCTCGTGGATGCAGCATCAGCAACAGCAACAGCACCACCAGGCTCAGCCGCACCCACACCAGTCGCAGCAGCAGCACGCTTCCCTGGTCGCCCAACAGCATGCCCAGGTGCAAGCCGCCGCCGCCGCAGCACAGCAACAACACTATGGCCGCATTGCCATGGGCGGAAACGGCGCTGGAAACCCCGCGCAGGGAGCCGGTGGCGCCGGCGGCATGAGTGGAGATGGTATGTCAAATGCGGTCTCCGCCATGGATGGTGGAATCAGCGAGGAGAATCGCAAGGTCTTCATTTGGGTCGCCGAGCTATTGGATCCAGCTCGCAGGGAATCCGCTTTGATGGAACTGAGCAAGAAGCGGGAACAAGTCCCCGAACTGGCTCTCGTTATCTGGCACTCTTTCGGTATGTCTCCATTCCCGATGTGCACCCAGCCCCGTCTGCAATAACTAACGGTCGGAAACTTGCAGGTGTCATGACTGCACTTCTTCAAGAAATCATCTCGGTATATCCGCTCTTGAACCCTTCTCAGCTGACCGCCGCCGCGTCAAATCGAGTCTGCAATGCGCTGGCGCTTTTGCAATGCGTCGCCTCTCACAATGAGACCCGCACTCTCTTCTTGAACGGTACGAAATACATCTACCATGAACTATGCAAAATCGGTTGCTAATCTCCCTTTCAGCTCATATCCCTCTTTTCCTCTACCCCTTCCTCAACACCACCTCTAAGTCTCGTCCCTTCGAATACCTTCGACTAACATCGCTGGGCGTCATCGGCGCATTGGTGAAGAATGACTCCTCGGATGTGATTAACTTCCTCCTAACTACGGAGATCATCCCTCTCTGCCTTCGCATTATGGAAACGGGATCAGAGCTGAGCAAAACTGTTGCTATCTTCATCGTACAGAAAATTCTTCTAGACGATATTGGCTTGGGCTACATTTGCGCGACATATGAAAGATTCTATGCCGTAGGCACTGTCCTGAGCAACATGGTCACTCAGTTGGTAGAGCAACAGACTGTCCGCCTTCTCAAGCATGTTGTGCGCTGCTTCCTTCGGTGAGTCCTCGTGTGATCTCCATTTTCGTGGGCGTCTCTAACAACAGAATACAGTCTTAGTGACAATAGTCGGGCCCGAGAGGCCTTGCGACAATGTCTCCCCGAACCTCTCCGGGACGCCACATTCTCCTCCGTCCTCCGTGACGATGCAGCCACCAAGCGCTGCCTGGCTCAACTCCTTATCAACTTGTCCGACACCGTCTCGGATGGAGCCCCGACAGCCATGTAACATACGAAAAGCATCTGTTTCTTTCTCCCGAAATATTTTACCTTATGATATGCATGGGAAAGGCTTCTGG